GCAGGGTGTAGGTCATTGAATGTGTATATTTTTTTTATGGAATAAAAAACATTAAGCATGAGATGAGGTTTGAGGTAGCTGGTTCATCCCCATCCATGTCTAAAGTGGTTGAGTCCAAAAGATTTACTACCATTATGGCTTCTACGCTATTACCGCAATAATTCATGGAGATAATATATTGAAAACTCTTTTTTGTCTGCCTTTCGAAAAACCCTCATCTCGTCCTTGTAATGTATTCGGCAGTGTCACAATTTGCCTGCACGAGACGTGCTGGGGTTGTATGTATCTTGGACGGAGATGTGGAACGTGATTCATTGATTGTCCAATACGTCGTGAGAAAACATGAGCCAAACGAATACGGAAGCTATGACTTCAAAATATATATCTTGCGATCATTGATCCCACTTTGTGGTATTCCCCCCTCCCTACTCTCTTTGTCAGTACACCGGGAGGATTCTTGTGTCTCGATGACCTTTAAGAGGTTGCAATCATGTAGCTTGTTTTAACCATCACATCCTTGGCTCTTCTGGTAAGATTGCAGCATTGTGAGACCTTTTATATGAGAAGCAAATGTGCCCGAGAGATTATGTCTCTCACCAACAGTATGGTACTTCTGTCAGCAACCTGCAGCAGTACAAACTTTTAGACTCGAGGTTATATACTTGTTGCACTTTTGGCACGCTCATTGGTGTGAGTAAATTGACCTAAGGCTTCCGTCACGGGCACTTGCTCGAGCCGCTCGACGACCAGTGTATCATTCTCCAAGAAATGGTGCCCATCGTGGCATATACTATGCAATGTGCCGCGAAGTTCGGAGACCTAGAATTCTGTCATCTGACTCACAGCGCATATCGTTGAATGGTTTACTTCATGAATTCCGTTTGATTAGTCATAAGTATGTCTGGTCCGCCCCATTCTCCACTGTTTCCTCCTGTTTAGATCATGCAGGAAGTTTGTTACAAAGGTAGGACACTCTGTAGCTTTTGACTGCGAGGGAGCAATCGAGTACTTTATTGTTCGAAATTCCTCAAAAGTCTTTTTGTGTGTGCAGCTTCTTGAAACGATGTAAACAGGATCTGGTCGTGATATGTGTGATATTCCTCGATCCCCATGCAAACCTTTCCGAAAGGTTCGTATGCACTAGTCTTTCACTGTACATCGGTGGTCTACATCTGTTCAAAGGAAGTCATGGTGATGCTGTCACAACATGATTGGGTATTGCTTGTCGCCATGATAAACTTTCAACATTAGATGTTCATAGAAGTTCGATGCAGGCATGTTGCCATTCGCAGTACCAGCATTCAAGAGCTTGAAAGCTACAAACAAATGAGAAGCATCTTTCCATGGCTTTGCCTTGCCGACTTGTATGACTTTTTGCACCTTACACCATTCTCCATGGCACGGGACTGACTGTAGTTATCCAACTCTCCCTTCCTCGCATCCTCCTTTGCAAACTTTCCAATCTTGCATAGTTTCAGTGCGTGCCTTTTATTTATTACTTCTCTCTGGTAGCAATCAGTACAGTAGTGCAAAGGCAATATTCTCATTTTAGCGAAATCTTTTAGCATTCATAGTATGCAGAGACTGTTGGCTGCTCTTTTGCACTTTAGTGGCATCTTCTCAAAGATTTCTTTTTACAGTAACGGTATAAGGCTTGAAGTTGTAAATTTTGTTATCGGTTAGTAAAGGGAGTGAACTCGAGTGGCTTGTAAAAACCCATGAGAAGAATTTGAACACCAGAACCGATTATTTTGATACCTAGATGAAGTGAATCTTTCCAGTGTTAAAAGCAAGATCGATACACCATGACACGGAACAGAAGAACTTGGGGTTCTATCCAGGACAAAGATTGCGCGAGATGACCAAATAAGGCCTAAACCGGTTCTCGAAATAGATTTCAAATTTGAAGGAAAAGAATGTGATGATGAGATGCTTGGATAATAGGTAGTACAATGTCATTGTAGGAGCGATCATTCCATTTTGAAGATACACAGTTGTTATTTCCAGGGAATCATTGCTATCCTGGCTATGATAAAAAAAGCCACTCTCTCAAAGTTGTATAATTTAGTACAATTCCGGAGATAAATACGGAGGACAGACATCGAAGAGAGTTGTGATGACGGAGCCGTCAAGGAATGCCAGATCTTACGGACATGAGACTGAGCGAAGAACAAGGTGCAAGGAGGTATGTAACATACAAAGCATTTGGATACAGAGCACATGCCTCATGCGGCGCAATTTCAGATTTGCATTTCGCGTTTGTCATTTCTCGTGACGAGCTAGTTAGCACGCTACTGTAGTAGACTTGAAGGGCAGTTTTGTTCACGTGAATATGAACTCGTCTGCTGCTGTCGTGAGCTCGAAGAGATTTGCAGATAAGCGTCTCCGACTGTCGTCCATTTAAGCAGCATTTGTGCAAAAAACAAATGAGTAGTTTAATAAGTTACGTGATCACGTTTACTGGGCATTATCGGTTCTCCTATCACAGCAGTCGGAATCTGAGTTTCAGTTATCCGGTGAATTTGCTTGTCATTTGTTGGGAACAGCAGTTCACATTCATTCGCTGGCAGAAGTAAAAACGTCATGCTTCTACCAGCCGATGAACATCATCCCACTACAATTATTGAGTTGACAATCTACGGGAATCTGAACCTTCTTGCGCATGATGCTTTACTCGAAATGCGGGCTGTTGCACATGAAACTATTATTATTTCATTCGAATGTACGGTGCAGTAGTTTGAACCGGGGTTTGGTTTTTGCTCTTTTCACAACGCATTTCATGCATTGGCCAATCACGTGGGTTCCAAAGTTCACTTCATGCATGTTTGTCCACGATTTGCACTTTCCATATGATCTGCGAATTGTCCCTAGTCCAGCCTCCAGGCCTAAAGCTTCATCTTTCTGCACTTCCATGTTTGGTGAAAACGGCTACATCGTTCGTCGGGATGTTTAAAATTTATCTCTTCCGCTGGAAAGTGGCCAGCCAAGACCTCACATTTCCCATACGGACTAACATTCAACAAATCATCAAGCGCATATATTAAGGCTATCTGTCGAATTGAAACAATGGACACGCCTTAGAAGTTTTCTTCTTCAAATGATTATTTTCCAGGCTTAGAACACGAGCCACTTATTGACTGTAATCATTCGTCGAAAGAGATAAGTTGGCAGAAATAAGTCTCAGCGATATCCTCCAGACCTTCGTAATAACTACTTCATTGTTCTCATGTTTCAGTCATTCAATGCAGCAGAGATGTATGTAGGTTTCAAGAGAATATGTACATTCACATGCTACTACTATGGGGCTAGATAAGACTATAAAAAAATTATTTATCTATTTTACTTTGATGAAATGGCTTGAGGTCAAGAAAAAGGTAATACGAAATGATAGATACATTTGGTCCCCTTCCTTGTGTTATTATTTTTTATTTTCCATCACTTCCAGATGTGGTAGTTCAATGTGTGGTGGGAACAGGACCCAGTCTTGAGAACAATATCCCGTGGATATGGCAACAACTTGTAGATGTAAGAAAGAATTACGGGAGGGACAGGAGCCTGCAATTATTACAATGCATGACATTTGCTTTCATTCCTGCAAAGGTCTGGCCATTCTCTTCCCTTTACTGCTGTTGTTGTACGCGTATAAAAACACATGCCACTCATGCTCGCCCCGCGTACACCAGACCTCAGTGGCGCTGCAACATATCTGGGTCGAATATAAATGTCCATACAAGAAAAGAACAAATCAGAGAATAAAAGAAGCAGAAGAACGGGCTACTTTAAACAAAATAAATATTACAATATACCACCTGCCTTCAAGAAAATGATGAGGGCTTGTGCTAATTGTCAGAAGAAGAAAAGGAGAACAACTTGAGGTGAAGCGTTCTTTGTCTTGCATTCTACACCCAACACCGACTGTGCAGTTATAAAGGTATTTCCAGCTTGGGTCCGAAGAAAACATTAAAATACCACTCTCCCAATCATGATCTACGATAGATCTTCAGCTTGGAGTCCAGATGACCCCTTTAGAACAGAAAGCTACTCCGAGCATGTTCTGTAAAAAAAATCGACCCCTAACATACCTTGGGGTCGACATCTAAAAGTCCCGTCTTCAATGAATTCGGCATGGAGGAAGAAAGCTTCAAACTCCATGTACATCATTTCATTTCCTTATTTTATAACTTTTGAGCAATTTATATGATGCCTGCACCGTCACATCAACAATTTCAGCCAGCCTTCAGTGGAAGTGTGCGAAAGAAAAAGAACACATTTCGAATTTATTAATTTATAGGGCATCAGAAAACATGCCTATTTGCCCATAGCAGGCCTCAAGGAGGTCAACCACGTCGACGCAGCAACAGATGTACCGGGAAAGTGAACGGGAAGGTGGGATCCCCCGTCGCATCACCAGGACTACAGACGGAGTACGGACGGTAAACCACGTAGGACAGACGGTAAGAAGTCCGACGTAGAATGACTTCGTAGTCAGTAACGAGGAATCACAATTTGGACCTCCATGATTATTTTCTATATTCTCTTCTTTTTTTGGGATACGCTTTGACAATGATACGGCGGAATTTCAGTTTGTGAAAACTATTCGATGGCTTCTATCGAGAGGATGGAAATAATCGGTGATCGAGGGTAGTAGTGAAGGGTTGGGGCACATTGATGAAAGAAAATAAAATACACTGAGGAGACCGAAATTATTTCCGAAGAATAATATTTGACGAAGAAGTATTGGATCGAGAGGGGAATAATTTTTGGAACGAAATGTGAAGTGAAGAGAAGAGATGTTTAGGCTTGACGCGGACCGTGGGAGCTTGCGTGGACATGAGTCGAGGCTAGGCTAGGGTTTTGGGCCGCGAGGTGGGGAGGTGCGCAATCGGGAGGAGGCGATGATCGGAAGAGACGAAATGCGTGCGAGAGCATCGAGAGAGGGAGCAAAGCCGGCCAGCGATGGAGGGATGGAGGGAGGTAATGGAGAGATGCAGCGAATCAACATTGACTTGTGCGAGGTCTGCAGCGCAGCGAGGCAGGCCGAGGCGTCGTCGTCGTCGTCGGGCAGAGGCGGTCGTTCCGGCGCGCGGAAAGAGAGGAGCCGAGGACGGCCGAGAAAGAAAATTAAAGTCCATCGATCGGACAATGGTGCGGGATCGGGCTCGGGGAGCTGCTGCTGGATTTAGAAACGACAGCCGCGAGTGCAATCCGTGATGGATAACGCGAGACCGGACGTGAGGCGCATCGCATGGCAGTGCGAGTGCGCAGCGACGCTGTGACGGAGGCGCACTTTGGTCCGAGGGCGACGCCAATGAGGCTCTTGCGGCGCAGGATGGTGCGGGCTGCGACTGGTCGGCGATGCGGGACAGGAGTGAGCGGAGGAGGAGGGGAAGATTTGGTGGCGACGAGCGCAGCGGGAGGAGGAGGGAATAAGCCAAATCGGGAGCGCGAGCGCGGCAAACTTGGTGCGGCGGAGGTAGTGTCCTAGTGGAGGCTGAGCAGCGCAGTGGAGGGGAGTACATTGAAGTGGTTCCGGTGCAGCACTAGAGTGGAGGACAAGGAGCAGCAGCGGGTGGGGGGAGAGGATTTTCTCGGGTTGTTTTTAATGGGGAGTGTGCAGATGCGCGCATGCTGTGGGGACGGCGGTTCCCACATGGTGGGCTGGTTGGGGGCCCCACTGGAGGAAGCAGCACCAATGGAGTCTGGGAGCCGATGTTGTGGGGCCATGGCATGCCATGCCAGGGGCGTCGGAGCGACGAAGGTGGTCAGTACTGGCGCTGACAAACTAACTGCGCCGAATTGACAGAAAGAAAGAAGAGAGAAGAGCGAGAAGCGAGCGATGATGGTGGAGAGATAGAGGTAAAGGCAAATCCATCTAGAAGCAGGAAAGGTTGGCCAGTACCGGAGTGGATGGATGGATGCATTCATCGGACAGATAGATTTGCGGAAAGTCAGATTGATGGGTGGCATCAATCCAACTGATTGTCAGACTGATCTCCTAGAAAGAGAAAAGCAGCACGTCAAGGACTGCGAGACAGCGGAAGGTAGAAATTGTGTCGCGGTCTGTCTGTTGACAAAGAAGAGGGAATGCGAAGCGGAGCGCGTGGAATCCCGCTTCGACACTACTCCGTGCTTCGCACCTCCCCGCAGACATGCTGTACACCCATGCACATTTCCCCCCCGGACAGATGGATGGATAGAGAGGATGAGCAAAAGTTGGAGAGTTAGGACTCCTGGGCTCGCACTGTAGGTTATAAATCGCAACTGGGATCAGACTCGCTGTCCTGAAATCTGGAGGAATTGCCGACAGTCTGAGCTGAGCACAGTTGTTGGCAGCAGATGGTTCAAACACCTGGTCAAGAGATTGGCAGTCTCACACAGGTCTTCGGTGGAATAATTTGTAGGGCAGGTATGGACGAGGGTATATTGAGGAGATCAGCTTGAGCAGGAGGTGCGCGCGAAGGAAATCTCCTTCGAGCTCGCACTGGACTTCCAAGCGTCCGGAGAGAGACCACACGGTGTCGCACTCGCGAACGAGTAAAAGGGCAATGCAGGTGTATGTGAGCTGCGAATCTGTGGGAGATGGTGTCTTCATCTCTCACATTTTCTCGATCTTGCATCTTCCGACAGAAAGCTCCTAGCGCCGTCCGAGTTTTCTGCCAGGAGGGAGCCGAGAAGAGGCGGTAGGAGATGTGCGCGACATAACTGCCGCTGGCCACTTCCTTTTAATCGACGACGAGTGCATCACTGTGGGGGGTCAGTAGTGCGTCACGACGATACCACTGGATGCAAGAGTCCGATGCGCAGGTGACAAGTTTGTTGCATGCAATCACACTGTGATCTGGGGAGAAGGGAGGAAGTCAGTAGGTGCGCATCTGAATTGAGCGCGTTCATTTTCTCACACTTGTGGGAGAGCAACCATGTCCTTCGTGCGAAAGGCAGCCCCGCTACCAGGAGTTCTGCAAGAGGGAGGTGGAGGAGAACCAGGAAGTCTGTTCCAAGAGATTGGTGTTGGTCGCAGTGCAGTTGGCGGGTTGCAGGATTTTGCCGCCCAATTTGACGGAGTTCAAGACATACGCGCAGGGAAGGCAATTTTCTGAAAGAATGAGAGTCCAGCAGCAGTTTGGTTCAACAGGGATCCTGCACTTTGTGGGGGAACTATGGGTTCTTTTGCTGATCCTGATGTGCACATGCAAACGAGGTCTGTCCATATCGGACGATGGTCTAGCTCTGCTTGAGTTCAAAAGGGGTCTCAATGGGACCGTCCTGCTGGATGAAGGTTGGGGCGACGAGAATGCTGTGACACCGTGCCAGTGGACTGGAGTGACCTGCGACAACATCTCTTCGGCGGTGACGGCACTCTCACTACCGGGTTTGGAACTGCACGGTCAAATATCGCCAGCCTTGGGACGGCTCGGCAGTCTGGAGGTCCTCAATCTCGGCGACAACAACTTCACTGGCACAATCCCTTGGGAGATCGGCAGTCTATCGAAACTCCGAACACTTCAATTGAACAACAACCAGCTGACGGGACACATCCCGTCGTCGTTAGGATGGCTTTCCACGCTCGAGGATCTGTTTCTGAATGGGAACTTCTTGAATGGCAGTATGCCTCCCTCGCTCGTGAACTGCACCAGTCTGCGGCAGCTGCACCTCTACGACAACTACCTGGTGGGCGACATTCCCAGCGAGTATGGAGGCCTGGCCAATCTAGAAGGGTTTCGAATCGGAGGCAACAGATTATCCGGTCCCCTTCCTGGCAGTCTGGGTAACTGTTCCAACCTTACGGTGTTGGGAGTTGCTTACAATCCTCTCTCAGGAGTTTTGCCCCCGGAATTGGGTAATCTTTACAAACTCAAGTCTATGGTCCTGATTGGCACGCAAATGACCGGTCCTATTCCTCCGGAGTATGGCAACCTGAGTTCGCTTGTCACCTTGGCCCTTTACAGCACGTACATTTCAGGTTCCATTCCTCCTGAACTTGGCAAGCTTCAAAATGTGCAGTACATGTGGCTCTACCTCAACAACATTACGGGTAGTGTACCTCCCGAATTGGGCAATTGCACTTCCCTTCAGAGTTTAGATCTGTCCTACAATCAACTCACGGGGAGCATTCCTGGAGAGCTGGGAAACTTGCAGATGCTGACCGTGATCAATCTCTTTGTGAACAAGTTGAACGGCAGCATTCCAGCAGGACTCTCCAGAGGTCCGAGTCTGACCACGCTGCAGCTGTACGATAACCGTCTGAGTGGTCCCATACCGTCCGAATTTGGGCAAATGCCAAATCTCGCTGTCCTAGCAGCCTGGAAGAATCGCTTGTCTGGATCCATCCCCAGGAGTCTGGGAAACTGTTCGGGCCTCAATATCTTGGACATCTCGTTGAATCGTCTCGAGGGGGAGATACCCGCGGATATATTCGAACAAGGGAGCCTACAACGACTCTTTCTATTCTCGAATCGACTGACGGGTCCCATACCACCAGAAATCAAGTATGCGTTCAATCTCACGAGGATTCGGTTGGCCCGAAATCAGCTCACTGGTAGCATCCCTCCCGAGCTGGCGCAGCTCTCCAACCTTACCTACTTAGACCTTCAAGATAACAACATCACTGGCACACTTCCTGCAGGCTTTCTGCAGAGTAAATCTCTGCAAGCTCTAATCCTTGCCAACAATCAGCTCACGGGCGAGGTTCCTCCAGAGCTTGGAAATGTGCCGTCTCTCATTCAGTTGGACTTGTCAGCCAATAGTCTCTTCGGGCCCATTCCTCCTGAGATTGGGAAGCTTGGTAGGCTGATCACCCTCAATCTCAGTCAAAATCATCTCAGCGGCCCCATTCCTCGGGAGCTGAGCGAGTGTCAGTCACTGAATGAGCTCGATCTAGGAGGCAATCAACTCAGCGGGAACATTCCCCCTGAAATTGGCAAGCTGATCAGCCTGGAGATCAGCCTCAATTTGAGCTGGAACAACCTGACCGGGCCGATTCCACCTACCTTGGAAAATCTTACCAAGCTTTCCAAGTTAGACCTCTCTCATAACACTCTCTCCGGGAGCGTCTTGCTGCTCGACAGCATGGTCAGTCTTACCTTTGTAAATATTTCTAACAACCTGTTCAGCGGTCGTTTGCCCGAAATCTTCTTCCGTCCGTTGATGACTCTGTCCTACTTTGGAAACCCTGGGCTATGTGGTGAACATCTTGGAGTCTCATGCGGTGAAGACGATCCCTCCGACACGACGGCTCACTCCAAGCGACACCTTTCTTCCTCCCAGAAGGCAGCTATCTGGGTGACCTTAGCGCTATTTTTTATTCTAGCAGCTTTGTTCGTTCTCCTGGGAATCCTGTGGTACGTAGGGCGCTATGAGAGGAATTTACAGCAGTATGTGGACCCCGCAACGTCATCTCAATGGACGCTCATTCCCTTTCAGAAGCTCGAAGTATCTATTGAGGAGATTCTTTTCTGCCTCAATGAGGCCAATGTGATAGGTCGGGGAGGATCAGGAACGGTGTATAGAGCATACATACAGGGTGGTCAAAATATTGCCGTTAAGAAACTGTGGATGCCCGGGAAGGGAGAGATGTCTCACGATGCTTTCTCTTGCGAGGTGGAAACTCTCGGGAAAATTCGACATGGCAACATTCTCCGACTACTGGGAAGTTGCTGCAACAAGGACACCAAACTCCTGCTGTACGATTTCATGCCTAACGGAAGCTTGGGAGAGCTCCTTCATGCTAGTGATGTAAGTTTTCTGGATTGGAGCACCCGGTACAAACTTGCAATTGGAGCAGCGCATGGCCTGGCCTACCTACACCATGATTGTGTACCTCAAATTCTACATCGAGATGTGAAGTCGAACAATATCCTCGTCAGCTCCCGTTTTGAGGCACACGTTGCAGATTTTGGATTGGCCAAGCTCATCTATGCTGCCGAGGATCATCCATCAATGTCTCGTATTGTCGGATCTTATGGGTATATCGCCCCAGGTAAATTTCCAGCATATTCTAGATGTCTCATTCGTTGGATGATTCCGGAGCTTCAATATAGCGTTACAGGTTTTAAGCACTAAAATTACCAGCTGGGAGATCCCCCATGGTAGGCCTTACTTTTTGTCAAACACTCTCTGCTAGAAAGTTTCTTTACATTCCTGATTTCATACAAGATATTGCTTGAAATTTGAATTGGAGCGATCACCGACTGTACAATTTACCACTTAGCTGAAATAGACTCATGTGACACTTGTGAGATGAGGTTCAGTTTCCTCTTCTTCTTTTCCACCTAGATTGTAGTCTAGATTCTCATGCTACAGATACTTGCTCCACGAGTTTCCGAATTTATGTGTAGGGCTGACTGGGTTTCTGTCATAGACATATCCCGGAGATGACATAGAAATCTGCAATATGTCGGTACAGTGACATTATTCTACTTTTCGAAAATTTTACTGCGCACACTTGGGGATCACGAGCCACTTAGGAATCCTGAAAGAGGATTTAGTTCCATCTTGATTAATAAGGGATGAAATTATATCAGGATGCAGTGCTGGGTTGTATGAGCAGACTTTTCGTTGTTTCTGTTTTAAATGTACGTCTTGTGATGCATTTTCTCAGTAGTCTAATGGTTGTCCTCGGCATTGCAGAATATGCTTACACGATGAAGATCACGGATAAAAGCGATGTGTACAGCTTTGGGGTCGTTCTGCTGGAGATTGTGACGGGTAAGAAACCAGTTGATCCAAGTTTCACCGATGCCGTAGACCTGGTCGGATGGGTAAACCAGCAGGTGAAAGCTGGGCGTGGTGATCGCTCGATTTGTGATCGGCGACTAGAAGGATTGCCTGAGGCTTTGCTCTGTGAGATGGAAGAAGTGCTAGGTATTGCCTTACTTTGCGTCAGTCCAAGCCCGAATGATAGACCGAACATGCGGGAAGTGGTGGCCATGCTGGTGGCGATTCAACAAGATACCTTGAGCTGGATGAAGAGCAAGTCATTGAGCGAGCCCTGCTCCAAGCAGCCGATTCTTTGTATTTCGCCGGATTCGGATGATTCTTCGTGGTCGAGGACCTGAAGACAATCTAGTTACAAGGAGTTCTCAATCGTAAATTTGAAGCCAGTATATCGAATACCCTAGTAGATTGAATGGGGAGTGAACAAGCGCGACAGTCGCTGTACTCAAATTTTGGGGTGGTCAATGATTATGTGTTACACTTTCACAATTGAGCGCCTTTAGTTTGTAGCTTTCCACAGAAACGACCCGAGTTTTAGCGTAGTCCTCGCCGCTGCACAAGGTTGTTAATTGATGGCCTTCAATAGTCTCTTGATCTTTATACACGGCTATCCGGCTCCAGTGCAACTGGTGGGGCAGTGAGTTGATATTCATAATTCTTTGCGGCTTAGTAATAGATCAAATCCTCTGTATATAACACAGATTTCTCGGCTGTGGACGACCTCCACGGCAGTGTTGCTGATCCTTATAAACGAAAATATTATCGTGTCGGTGACACTGCAATTCCAACGCAACGTTTCTAGCGAGTCCCGTCAGTCGATTAAGATATCTTTGCTCTTTATGTACCACTATCGCTTGATCTCCACATTCGATGTAAAGCGAATCTCCACTGAGAAAAGGAGGAGAGTTTCGAAATACTGTAAGACTGGTCGCCTCTGCGTGTACGTATAGCTTTTTCTGGAGTATGGTCCGAAACAGCTGCGACACTAATGTGGAAAAAGGGAAAGGACGAGCACTGCGTCTTGTTTCAGTGTAAGTTCTGACACAATGACATCGTCTGCACAAACTCTTCTAGCGTGTCCTTCCAATGAATTATGATATCTTTGCTCTGTATGCATCATTATGCTTGGATTCGATATAAAGCACATCCCCACCAGAAAAATAAGAGAATTGATTTTGAAAGAACGCACAAATGGTCGTCCCTATGGATGTAGCTTTCTCTGGAGTATGGTCCGAAACAGCCACGACACTTCACTCGTTGGTAAGACGGAAAGGACGAGCACTGAGTCCTGTGAAAACTCTGACAAGAGGACATCGCCTCACTCTCTAGAGCCTCTCAATGCCACTGGTTGTACACCCCAGATTGCATGCCTTCAGCTATATCCGCCGTGTACTGTACTCTTGTGAAGTGGATCCCACATTCCCACTTGTCGATGCGACCCAGGCCAGTCTTGGAAGAACAGGATAATAACTCACTACTATTGCTTCATGAACTAATGTTAGCATGATTCCATTACACGACGTTTACTTTTTCAAACAGTAGACAGGAAAAGATGCCATCATTGCCAGTTGAAGTCTATTTGACGGGCATCGACTATCTATAGCAAGAGCCCTGCATACTGCCTCTGGCCAAAATACGGAGCAAGCTGCAGAAAACACATGCGCTGGATTTTCTCGTGAGTACTACGACAACACTCTTCTGGTAATTTCAGAGTTTGTAAGTGTCAGAATTGTCCTGGATCCTAAGCCCATTTGGATGCAGTTTTTGGTGATACGAAAATTTCTGAGGAGCCCTGCTAAGAACGGACACTTTTTAGTAGATCCCATTGCTTTTACATCAGCTGACATTGAGAGCTGTCAAAACATCTGAGGTGTCTATTGCATGACATAATTCTTTAAGAATTTACATTAGATATGAGCGGAATCTAAAACAGAAGAAATTGGATGTATTAATTTTCTCTATGAAAAGTTGTCTACCTGTGTATTTTGAAACAAAATCGATGCAATCTAAGAATAAATGGGTCTTACCGATCAATAAGGTTCAATTCCAGTGTTTGTTTCATTAACAGGAATTTGAAGCGAATGCGATTTTTTTTTAAGTACTCGGCTATATGCCAAGCTCAACATGGGGGCTATAATTTTTATTTACACTTATCAAAGAGTGATGTGTGGTTGATTCAGTCGGCATGAATCACATCGTCACGTCTGTTTGATCATGCTTGCAATTACGAGTTTTGTTCGTAGTGACTTGTTTGAATTCTACTGTAACCATGGAATGATTATTGATGGTTTATAGCTTGTATTATTGATAAACTTTATCATCTGAAAGTTATCTATATAATAAATATGTAGAACAATCACGCCATCTCAGTAAATTGATGTTTGTATGAGATCTAAGTTGCTCTTGAGTCCATGTGTTACAGAGCTCAAGCGACAAATCACATTTAATCATGACAAAGATCGGACCTCTTCAATCATCTTCTCCTTTCAGTTCGAGTCTGCAACCAATTGTAAAAAGATTTGCTAACCAAGATTTATAATAGCTCAAGAATCACTTCAGCTTCCATTTCTTATCACTATCAATCTTGTAGTTATTCAAACCAATAGTTCATAGCCCTTTTACTATTTGCATTAAAATTCACACGGACGGAACCAAGTGAAGTACTCTCGAACTATCTCCTGTAATCTTTTTTGTTATTCATGACATCTACACTATCATTCTTTGTTATCAAACTTGTTGGTTTTTTCCTTCTTCCTTGACTTTCTATTTGCAATATAAAGTTAACTGATGTCGACTGTGATAGTCCAAAAAGGTCATCTTGATGTTTGACAACACACACTTCATATGTTATATTCGATTAACAATTATGATTAACCGGTCGAGATTGGACGATTGAATGGCGACAGTCTATTTCTTCCAGAAAGATATAATATTCCTGTTGTTGCATGACGTATCTTTTGCTATTTAGAGAACATGAGTTATCTACTTTCATAAGAAAGAAATCTTGTTACTTGATGATTCTTGGGATGCTAATATTGTTGGAAGACATTTCAACCTCCACACTTGGGACATGTATTTCGTGGTGAAACCATGAATCAAATAAAACGAGTAACATTGGGTTATGACTCCTGTGACTCGTTTGGTTTCATCCATATGAGACTTGATGGAGAGCATGACCCCATCAAAACTTGATGGGAGTGTAAATCATGTCACTCTTCCCTCTCGAATATCTTCCAGCTTTCATGGAATATGAAATCTCGTGATGCTTAAGTCTAACAATAGCTCCATCGCAAGAAGTTTCAATTTCTACATTCCGAACAGGACATTAGAAACTGACCAAAGTCGCATCTCAAGTTGAAAATCTGATCAAACTGGGACTTCAGAGCCGGTGAGTGAACCAGTCACGCACGTCAAGGGGGACAGAGGACAGAGGACAGAGTGAGATTTGTTTTGATACTCGTGCACCGCTTCTGTAGGAGTGATCTCAGGCTGCTACTCGACTGTCCTGAGGCCTGACTTGTCACCAAGTGGCAGAGACATTTACTTGGCATACACTCTGAACGGTGTACTTGTCACTTGTGACTCGTTCAAAAAGCTCGTTTTCTCGTGCAAAGTTCGGGTTTACTTGTCACTTGTGACTCGTTCGAAAAGCCCGTTTTCTCGTGCAAAGTTCGGGTCGCAGTACAATGTCATCATGCCATCACTGCGAGTGTGAAAGTAGACAAAGCGAACTTGCAAGTTGGTACGTAAGTTCGTGGTTGCCGGACAGCAACCTCTGTGACTAGTGGAGTGAGACCGCCGCCACGACCTGGTTGGCAGTACAGTCGGCAAGCTCATATGGGTGTTTCACCAGTTGATCCTTGCATTTGTGCTAATTTATTGCTACAGATACAAGCGAAGTACAGAATTGAATCGAGTGTGAAGCCTGTAGACTTCCGTGCTCGCTGAAGATTCTGCAGGATGAGTACAGTCTCATGGGTCCAGCCAGTGCAGTGACATGGCTTAGTGGTCTGGACTCGTGGCTCGTTTCTCCGATCCCTAGTGCGTGCACGAATCTCAATCATCATCTAAATCCAACAGTGGCTCTGTGGAAGGTAAACCTGCAGGATTCTGGTCGTGTTTGCCCAATGTGTCGTGTTGAGTAGAATTCAAGATTCAGATCGTGCTATAATGACACATTAACGTACACTCATTCAACGAAACGAACCAGGTTTGATCTTCATAAAGTCAATTCTATCGACAGTTTGGGTAAATTTGGTCTTTCTCTGGTCAATGCAAGCACTGAACTCAGATTGCAAATTCAGTCGACAGTTTGGTACAGATTGTTGTGCTCGAGAATATGTGGTTGAGTTGAATTGGCTTTTCATAGACGTGGCTCCTCTTGTACTTGAGACTCAACTTGAGGCATAAGAGTGGACCAGACTTGTTCTGGTGTGCGAGTTTCAAATACAAGAAGCTTTTACGAAATGAACATCAGGATCCATCTTACAAACGAGTTTTCTTTCAAGTGTGTAGAGATTTCGGTGGATTAAGATGGATGGTGTACATTTGTTGTACAGTACAGATGATAGCTCATAGAAGTCTCGATGAAAGTGCAATCATGAACAGGCAGAGGTATTTGTGCAGTTCAGATCCCTAGTAAATAAATCATGACTTGCAACTTCTGGATGTGCAGCATGTGGTCTTAAACGAGGAAGAAGAGGGTTTAATTGCGAGCTTTAAAACGGTGATATCAGCAGTCATTGTCACCGTGAGTTTATGTCGTTTTTTATGAGGTGCTACACATGTTACTAGTGGATCCTAGTGCATTAATTGACTACTGTTCTAACAATTGACGACTGAGTTGAGTTCTTAGGGAATAGTCGTCCGTGCATGACCATCCATCGATCTCTGAGTTGCATTGGAATCATTCACGGTCCCCCTGAATCCTACTATTCCAGTAGTGGATCACATCTGGCAACGAGCCTCAGAATGAATTCGTTCTACTGAACCTTTCACCTTGAGAATGTTTTGACAGTCCAGATGTTTGCAATCTTTCCAGATTCCAGAGTTATTCTTGATCCGATGTTGTCCTCCTCACAATAACGGCAAGGATGTTCGTGCTAGAGTAACATCGCTGAACCTGCGGAGTAAATAGGCAGTACCTAAGAGTTTAAGCTTTCCTGTTGACATGGAGCCTCTTCTCCAAATTACTCATGGACAAAAGGATTGTCCTCGACTTCAAACCCAACATTCCACCCTTTTACGTTCAACTACATTGCTGGCATGTGCCATTGACCAAAGCTTGGAGATGACTCATGCAAAGTACTGTAATCCCGTCCAAGAGCCAACATGGTGGAGCTGCTAGGTCTTAGCTTGACCAATCAATCCTATTGCGTGGTCTAGCACCTCTCCTTCACGTTAATGCTCCCAACGACTCGGTTTCTGGATGGTCAAGAATCTCTGTTTCTGTTTGTGCATCCATGAATATCCTCCACAGAGACCGACTACGACAGGAAATCAGTAAGTTCAGGTGGGCATCACTGAAAGAAAATATCGGCAGGAGTAAGTGTCTCCTTGACCCCGTGTAGTGCAATGTCTCGAGTGCAAGACACATAAAGAATGGTGGCAACGACCTACGAACTCACAGCGTGGAAAAGAAATCAGCACATCGACTCGAGCTTCGAGGGGGAAATACAAATTTTTTATTATCCTCAATATTAGCTAATTGTAGCTGAAAACTTCAGCCTCTGTTCAGTGGCTAGAATCTCCTCCACTCAGCCATAAGTCGAGAGATTAGAGTCGCTAAGTACTCAAAGCTCCCAGTGTAATGTTGATACTCTGGCTCCAAATACTTCAAATATGGTAAGGTTTGCTCGAAGGAAGTCAAAGCTTCTCGGAAGAAACTAAGAACAAAGTGAGAACAAAATGTTGTCAACCATGAGTTGCTGCTATCGACAATCTCTGAATAGAGGTGATGCATCTCACTGTAGAGAATTACAATTGTCCCTCATGCATTATCCAGCTTGCTTGTGTCCGTCGACTTCACCTTCCTGTCACAACCCGAAGCAGTCCAATCAAGCATCAGGGTGTGCTCTGACAACAGATCCTGAGACAAAAGTCCTGCAGCTCTATCGAGTCACCTTGACAGACAAAGAACGATGGTAAACGATTCATGTTTTCATGGGTTCCAACAGATGTGAATTCTTGTGCTGGTACTACTGGTGCCGTTTTGAGATAGTCATATTACGATGAATTACATGGAGTTATCAGCATGCCGTTGAATGGGTTTTGCTCCATCTCAATTGACCAAGTTATCTCTATTGACTCCGGCGAAAAGACACTGACGGTGCAAATTGGAGGAGTTGTCATAGGGTTGAGGAGGATATATGTAGACAACATTCTCCGCATTTGCTAACCTCCTCATCAACTAAATCTTGTTGTCAAGCAAATGACATATATGGCTTCTTGTTTTTGAAGCCATATCACATTTGGTAGTTCTATTTTTTAGAATTTTTGGTGAATTTCTCAGCACAATGAATAAACATGTGCCGGCGCAAACTTTGTCAAATAAATGATGTATCATAGCTTCGACACTTAATTTACTTTTTGCAATAATTTGAATCACATTCAAGTCTACATACATGCATTACATGATGGTTCGAATATCACCTCAAATTGAATTGGAGAAGTTGGTGGAGAATATATGTATCAAAATCATTATTTGAACGACGAATTTTTATAAGACGCATTACTTCATGATGTCATTTTTCATTATCAATTTTAATCCAAACGTCCATGATTCAAGCAAAGCACGACTCAAACAATAATGCTAATGAGCTTGAAGCATTGCTGGTTATGAGTACCTACATTGTCAAGTTGCCGACGCAAAAATTCATCAGTGATCATATGGATCGGTTTTGAATGCATGTTAAAAAATCACTAGTCACATCGTTATATATCGATCTCATACAAAATAACACAAAGAGTTGCTAAACGCGATTAAAATTGAACCTATCGTGAAAACGTCATTTTAAAATCACGAAAAGAATACAATTTTTAAACATATCTAGTATTCAGTCCAGAAACATGATTCGAACTGAATTGTAATGTTGAGAAGTTTTATTGGATGGTTAATATTTGATCAAATCAATCAGGAAAGACGATTTCATTCGATTTATAATGTTGAGTAATTTCAATGTAAATCAGTAGATTGTTTCAACACATATTCGACCAAATTCGACTACTCCATGCTGAAATGAAAGAAAGACGCAGACTGGTTGGATTGCTTGGTGTGGAAATATTCATACATGTAAAATATATACAATGCTATGAAAGTTAATCTTTACATAGATTTTTATGAGGGCGGTTATATTGGTGGCGCCAGGTTATAGCTTCCATATGTGAGTAATAAACTTCGTAGGTTTTACTTCTTTTCGTTCTTCGTCCATGATGACTCCGTGACAAGATCCACATTAAATCCATACCTGTCATCTTCGCGTTCGAGATCCGTTGTGAATGATGTCTCCTAGTTCAGTGGAGTTTGTCGCTCTCGAAATCTCTTGTCTAATCGTCATCAATGGCCTGCACATGATGTCATTACAACTAACATTTGTAGGAGTTCATACTTTTTGAATACCTTTTATGCAATCCACGTCGTACGTCAAAATCTGCTACTAACAAAAATGTTTGAAATGTGCCAAAAATTGTTCACGGTACAATTTTTCCATGTGCTATGATAAGACTAGATTTAGACTGTATAGTCTACAGTACTCCAAATGTTAAGTATCGATGAACTCCTGGAAATTTGATGAAATCAAAAGATTTCAATATTCTCTATGATGGTTGAAGAGAAGGAATTAGCATAGGTAATCTATATGTTTGTTGTTTATGTTTAAACTTGGAACACTCATGAAAATTGTAATCTGAATAAGCGTTGAGTTTGAAATCACTAAGTGCCCAGACCCACTTAGTTGTATGATACTCGTGGCTTGCAAGCAAGAATCTCGTCTTCAAATTGTGAGAGTCAGTTTTGACAGTGTTATTAGATTCCAAAAATCACACAATGTTGACAATTATGTACTTAAGTGATGGCTCTTATTGGGGCTAGATGCAGGGCATGATTACCAAAGTCAACTGCATCGTAGCCACGCCGAAGAAGTAGGATATATTGAAATTGGTCTTTGACGAGGAGAGTGGCAATGACATTCCAGTCTGTGACTTGCCATGGTAAAGTTTGAACTTGACGACGCAGATTATTTTACGTTGTTTTTGTTGTGACTCTTGCCATGGAGTCATCTTGGATGAAGAGCAGAAAGAAGTAAAATCCACGAAATTTATCATTCATACCACGCAAACTTATAACCCGACATCATCAATGATTGATCATTGTATGGTAGTATGAGCGTTAATTAAGTGAGGGATAACTAACCGCCCCACATTTTTATTTATGAGATTAAATTCTAATACACTCATATTTATATTCTCAATTTAAATACTAAAAAATTCATAAATATAGAAAACTTCTTTCATCACTTTGAATCTTTTCATACATGATCTATTCAACATATTAATCAACGTAAATCAGATATGATATGAAATAGGAGTGGACAAGACAATATTACAGTGTAGAACAAAAAGTGTGAAAGTTACATATTAAATTAGTATATGTGATATGTATTCGTACATAATTATATGTTCTTTTGTGTACTTATTATTTTTGACATTATTTATTTGTTATTTGGTGGTATGATGTAGTGGTTGAAAAAGTTTCTATCTTAAAGAATTGTGTACATTTTCTTGTCCATGCATGAGGTGTGTGATATATTTATGTTTGGACATATAGTACCAGGAGTATATGTAAGGTAGTCTTCTCCTTTACCATCACTCTTCAATTTATTTATGTATATTCTCAGAGAATTACACGTAAGGAGTCTAAAATATAGTGTCATAAACTCAATGAAGTACTTCCAAAACTTTGGATTTTGAACCTCTATGATGTACAGGTCTAAGAAAATATTGCATCTATTTTCTTCAAACCGATCACTTTCCATTTCTCTCTGACTCTCTCATATCACGTCTTTGAACATGATCAAAGGTTTGTAGCGACCTTGAAATCCGTTTGGCTCAGCTCCCAGTCACAGGCACTCATATATGACATTTACGCATGTGCCGAATACCTTGTACATTCACTGAAAAACGGTTACTTCTACACCTGACATAATGTCTAATAGACGCTAAACGATGAATGATGGACACTCAATCAAACTTTACGTCTCTCCAAAACCGTTCCTAAGACTGAAGTGTGATGTCTCACACTTCCCTCCGTGGTAAAACACTGAGTAAAAAATATACAGGGCTTGGATAGTTGATTTTATTTACATCTTTCACACGAAATTCGTTTGTCAGTAGTCACAATATTCTCTATCCCATGAAGTTCTTCTCACAAGGGTTAAAACTTGCTTTGTTTAAATATGTCATAATTCGCAATTCAGAATGTTAGCTGGCCTTCAAGGAAATCTGACAATTGTCACCGTGGCTGAAACCAGGAGCTCATGCCCTGAGAGAAAATTAGTCCAAGGGACTGCATGACAGAACTCTAGTTGCGACGAAACAGAAGAGAGCAATTAATTTCTCAGCTCGTGAGACTAATCAACTCTCTCCTTTTAGTCTTTCTCGCATGTCATATCTGTGCACGCTGAGATGTAATGACATACTTCTTCCATAGTCATCTAGTGCAGGACTCGATGACCATCTAGATACGACGTGAAGGCTGATTATCCTCAGTTTGATCCACATGATAACAAGTATTACGCCAGAGAACCAACCAGGCTTCTCGTACAAACAGAAAAGCCCACTTCATAGCATTCACTCCTAAGTACGTAGATACTGAGATGCGTACAAACTCGCCCATCATCAAAATTCTTACACCACGTACTGCATTTACACGTTGTAGGTAAGTATAAAGTACTGTCCCAGCCCGTATGAGGCAGCGCATTTAAGGGAACGTCTACTGCTATCGGCTGAAGTCACCAGTTGGGCAATAGCGAGCTGAGAGACGCAAAAGTCAGATGGCATGCGCTTGTTGTACCCAAATCATTCTTTAAAGACTCGCTGAGTTGGACAGACCCACCAACTTCCAATACAATATACTTTGCTTGCTTGCCTCTAAAGAAAGTCCTATTTTCACAATGTCCCCTAAAATCTCTGCGGACGAAGTACACCCCTACAAATAGTGAGACAAAGTAGAGGTTGCTGTACAAGTGAGAAGGGCAAGTGCGGTGAAGTGCTATTTCTTAGGCTCGATCCCAACCATGCAACGACCACACAGACATTGGAATAGATGGATTGAATGAAGTGTCTTTAGTGACAACTGCAAAAGTCCTAACGAGCAAAATCCAAGAGACTGAAATGTTTCCTCAATCGCGTTCACTGATTGCAGTCAAATGGTGGTCAATTTCCGTGGTTGACAAAACTCGAAAGTTCGTATCATCCTGACTAACAACGCCGACCTGAAATAAAAAAGTTCACAGTTAAATTGCCAATTCACTCCTGCTAGACATATTCTGGCTCATTAGACAGGACTCACGGACGAGGAGTGTAAGATTGGTTACACGACCCACCAATATGATAATACATCAGCAAGTAGCAAGTATAAATTCCAAGAAAACCACAATATTGTGTAACCTCGCATGATTAGTGAAGTATATCTAAGAATGCAATAGTTATGCAAGAGCATGAAAATTGATGTGTACCTCGATCTCCGTTGGCTTGAAGTCTTCCAAGAGAATGGATTGCAAGGCTGTGATTGCAGTCTGCAAGAGCAATCAACAGATGTCACCTGACGTCAGCCTTCGCAGAGTAACGTTTAAAGATAGAAGCCTTAAAGCAAAGCGCCACTTAATGATCTACCCAGTAAACAAAAACACGTAGATATCTGAAACGTTAAAAGCTCGATCCAAATTTAACTACTGGTAATGTGTCAAAGTAGAAACCTCTCTTCACAATATTAAAATGACGGAAGACCACATTAACGATACCTGAACAGTCTCGTCGTAGGTCAACTTGGGATCATTTTTCATCTTCTTTTCCAAGAAATTAACTGCTTCTTGTTCTTTCAAACCGGAGCTAGTTGCCTGTGTATCCATTCAATGGTGCCAACAAATTGATGAAATGAACTTCCGCAGCAAAATGGCAAGATAGGTGAGAGTAAGTAAACAATCGATGATCACAACTAGTCTAGATACAACCGACAGTTGAAAACAAAACACGGCAAAGAGTTGACTTAAACACCTTGTAACCAACAAAATGTCCAGCTGGATCACACTTGTATAGCTGGGGCCCCAACTCGTCATCGATACCAATCAGCATGGCCGCTGCAGTACGCCAAAACAGATGTCTGAGCAGGTAAGCTGAGACAACATAAGAGTTGCTGAAACAACATACGCATTCAAGACTGCTTGAGCAGACAAAATATGGCGGGGTGTTTTTTCTTCTCATTCTGCATATCAGACCCAGATTCTGGAAAGTGAAGACGCATTCTCCACACAGATTTGGTTAAGATATTCCCTTCCAGAGCGTCATTGAGGGGCCATTATTACATACACAGGCATGAATGGATAACATAAGAGAACTCCGAAGTCTACATGTACGACACCAACGTTCTTCTTAGTCAAATCGATGAAATTACAGGAGGACCTTGGTACGATGGACAAAGTTCACTATCTATACAGAGAATGAAGGAAGACAAACTTGTAGGTTATAAAGTAAATAAGAGTGATTCTAAAAAACAAAAAAAACGAAAAGGAGAGCGATGAAAGGAACACTCAGAGAAAGCCAAGTTGGAAGACAAGAAGATAAAATGGTGAGTAACGAGCACATCGTCGACATCTATACAGTCAGATGTAAGTGACTTGACTTCAAAGTAACTATAGTACACAAAACTAGAAAATTGTGATCCTCCTCTTCCAGAGAAATTCTATCTCGCTACAAACATCGACTTCAGAAGAAAAAACACGCGAACTCTCCTGAGATGCGATCGGGGTCCCCGTGAAAGTTCAACCGCAGCAACTATCACTTCACACACAACTCGGGTGGCGTTCTTAGCAAGTACGGGTGTGAGTACGCTTCTTGCAGAAAAGGGAAGGGATAAGACTGCACTCTGCATCAGCAGGATGCATTCACAGGCGAACATGCAGGACCCAGAAGATACCCTAAGCCACCGGGATTGTTAATTTATACCCTCATGCGGAAGGCGTTATTTCCCTCATCTAAATTTTACCCGGGGGTTGCTAAGTTTCTGGTACGTTCAAAAACACAGTTAAAAGAATGTGATCCAGACTATTCCCAATCTGTACTTTATGTGGAACACAGTCTGATATCACTCAGCAATTGTCTGATACTAGAAGGAATATCAATATCTTCAGACATGCGTAGCTATTAACCCTTAGATTGAATGTCGTAGCCTTGCATCGACCATTGCCATAGTTCTTATTTATTGCTCCAAAACTACAAATTCCGCCCACTTATGTACGTACCAACTCCAAGAGGTCTCATGTACGCATGTTGAGTATACACTTGTGACTTATCTGCTAACCTGCATTATGTAAGGATGTTCGAATCACAAAGTCAGAAAGCCATGGGTTATAATCAACCACCAAGTTTTTTCCACCACACTTTCCCACAAACCAAAGAATCATTCGAAAAAAATGTCTGCCATTTGAGGACCAACATCGGATGTCCCTCACATTCCCCACAGAAAACGTCATGATCGGATTGTAATGCATATACCTCTTTGCTAAATAGTCGACGGGAACCTCGTAACCCATTTTGAATTTAAACTCGGCGGCCTCGTTTCGAGCATGCTGCACCAACGACCTTGCGTCCGCTGCACCACGAGTACAACTTGTTCAGCACTCAGTTGCGTCACTAACCAGAACTACTAACTGTAGATTCAGGCTTTCTCATACTCCATGTTTCAGGAAACGCTTCAAGCAAACGCTTTTGAAATATCTTTCAGAAACGGTTTGCAGACATTTTGGGTTGTTGTCAGGTACTGAAAGGAACGCCAAACACAAAGCAAAAGACATAAACATTCCTAATCACGCGAATCAAGTCTTTTGAATCTCGTTAAACCAAAACAAAATTTCACTTCATGATACTGATTATAGACATTAAAACAAGAATACGTCCGGCTAGAATTACAAACTTTTTTGGGCGAGGTAAACACCATGACAACCACCATTGCAGCACTAGACAGAAAGCGAGGTCAATACCTCCTCATAAATTTTCAAATACAGTAAGTAGATACCTGTCATGCCCGTGGCTAGAAGCCCAATGAACTTAGTGATTGGAAAGAGATGAGACACACTGGTGCGATCAAGCAGTTTGTCCTGTAATACGTGTGAGCAGCACACGACTAATTTAGTGATTCATGACTAATTTAGGTTTCAAAACACTGAATTTGGATCAGTTGGAAAGTGTACGTAGCTCACAAGAATTTAGCCATTACGTAAAAAAATTTTCACAAGGTGTCTCAACAGATTACACATTCCGAGCTTTTGTAGAGAAATGAACGATCACAGCTGGAAGAAGTGAGAAATCGCAATAGAACCAAGCAATCAGTGCAGATCTCGAAGGCATGTAATTTTCGATCCACATACAAGCACCAGTCACAATCATCGTGTATCAAAACGACTATGAGGAAATAAGGAAAAGAAAGAAACTGAAGCATGAAGCGTGCATAGTCATCAGTCGGAGGGCTAAACGATAGGAAGAGCACTTACTGGGACTTTCTTCTGAGTCACGACACATACGGAATCCTTTCCACGGACTCCTATGGAGGTGATACCTGCGGCCTTTACCGCCTTAAACGCATACTCTGCAATCGAGCTCGACCAACATCAGGGGAAAGTACAAACAAAAACCAACAGAAGCTCACCGAACTCTGGACCCTTTCTAGTGGCCCGAAGCACACTGTACGCACAATCGATCGTCGGTAAACAAAAATTGAAACGAAATCAAAATCCTGGTACTCACCGACTTGGTAAAGACGACCTTCCGGGGAGAAGATAGTAATGTGGCGATCATACCCCGCACCGGTTCCTCTACTCATGATGCTTAAGTTGGTCGTCAATCGATTTCAAATTCGAGAAAACGCCTAATGGATCCTTGCGTCCGGATCGTCTGTAATTCTCACTCCGTTCTTTCCTTCTCGTCGTTCCTTGTCGCGAGCGAGGGGAAGAACCGACGAATTAGGGCAGTGTTCGACTTCCCTCCGAAGAAAACCCGCACCAGCCTCTCTGTTCCCTTCAGTGCCTTCCTTCGCCTTCTGTTCCCTTTTTTTCCTCACTTCGCTTCACTTCTCCGCTTTCCTTTACTGTACTGTTCTTCTGCTTCGATGATCGAGCCTTGGTCTCGAGACGACTGCGGCCGACGAATCAACCTGGTTGCATCAGTGTCGACGTCGTGGTTTGCAGATGTCGCAGTAGCCCATCCTTATCGCCTATGGCAAATTTGGACAAGTCCTTCTTTATACGAGATGTAGAAATCAACTAAGATAATTAGCTTAGCCTATCCTGTTGTAGCTTTAGGCTCATTTCTTGACAGAGTATTGTCGAATGCATTCATACGACAAATTTATTAATTATTAATAAATAGCAATGAAGCTCCATTAAGATTGAGATCACCTATAATAGATCGATATACTTTTCCACACAAATTCACTAATAGCTGATTTTGAAGGATTCGTAAGTTTGTTAAATCCAAGAGATAAGCAGGCAAACACTTAAACTACGGACTTGATTACAAGACGTACATTTGAAAATGATAATTTGACATATTCAATGGATACTTGACTCATGTTGATTGTTTTGAAGTTCTGATGTAAAGAAATTATATATATATATATATATATATATATATATATATATACTTACTTACTTGCATAGTTAATTATTCAAATTACATATATAATAAACTACAACAAGTTCTTAGTGGTGTACGTATCGAATATGAGGTGCTTTACTATTAGAAGATTTATACACTAATGTGCAAAACAATCTGTAGATAAAAAATCTCTAAGAGGGTTGGTGTTTGACTGTCAAAAAAATGAGGAAATCTCCTTCATATACCGTTATTTAAATCGTTGAAAGGAAGCAATTCTGGTGTGAAAAGTCGCACATCATATACTTGTACTATCATTCCATTTTTGCATAATTATGAGATTTATTGGCAAAATAATCATACTTTTACATGAGATTCTTTCAGATATGTGTTGTATTTATTATAGATATCATCAAGTCCTCACATAATCTTCATTACTCAACTTAACATAGAATACATTGTCATAACATATTAAATCTATACTATATTAAACAAACATAAACTTCGACTTAAATATTAAATTTTTTGACATAAGCATCAAAGACACTTTACATCATTTTATCATCATGTAATTTACTATATTTATGTATTAATAAATATATACAATTATGATCAACATACATTTCATAATCAAATAGTTAAATATAAACCATATCAAAATTTTATTATATGATTTTTAGTTTGCTTCAGTATGCAAATTTTACAAAGATGTCATCTAAGTTTTTTTTTAAAAATAACAAAAAACTCTAACTGGTTAAAGAATACTACTCTAAAAGTAAACACAATTGAACTAGTTATTCATGAGAGACATTGTTAATGATATTTGCAACTAGAAGATTGAAAATATTTCAATGAAACAAAAGCCTCATCATTTTCAGGGTGCGAAAACTATTATGTGAATCAAAAATTTAGATTGCATGTGTTCTTGGGTATTTCCGACATCATTTATTTGCTTTTTGAACTCTATCAAAATAATCATGTATGATAAAAAAATTTATTCAAAATTACAATGCTTATTGATGATATCTTCGTATGAAATGGAATAAACTTTTCTAAGATATATCAAACTGGCTTCGTTCGATGAAATCGATTATTAAGATGACGTATGATTTTTCAACATACTTATTATTTACCTTAGTAGTGAATTTGTGATTTACACAGGTTTTGCCATACATGGAAAAAAGGTATGTGATTTATTTATCTTACATTGAAGTTAAGGGTTGAACATTGGTACCATCATATATTTTGGTACAACAACATTGATCCAAATGAGTTTATTGATTCAAACCAGAAATTAATTTCAAAATTTTACATTGAAAACCCAAATATTATCTAAAGATAAATGATAAATGATAAAAATATATTCTTTTAATATAATATATCAAAATTTACTTTTTATTATGCTAATGATGGCAACCACAACATGTGTAAAATAAGAGATTATAGTTGGCACAATTTTTATGCATCAATCTAAGTTGTGAGTGAGGCAGTACATTTTAAATGTAACAGATTTCATACGACTTGTTTGTCGATTTGGAATGCAGAGGAAGATACTCTCTGATGCCATGAGGTCTGTGGAGATGGGCATCTCATGCGCCATGGCAAAACCCACATGTGTCAACGGCAACACATACCAGTACTGTAATATCTCCTAGTGAGGAATGTACAGAAGGAATGTGAAGCATGAGAATCGACCGACGTGATGCCATCGCTTCCTACTTCTGTAGTCAATTGTAATGCATGCTTTGCATCCTTCGTTCGATATTGGAATTCTGAAAGCTGCAGCTCGTCTCTCCGACCCTTTCTACGAACCTGATTATTCCTCAGAAAATGGTTGACCTCGGGATCCTCCAAGTACAATTGTAAAACCCCGTCTCGTGAAAGTGAGTCAATTCTTGTTCAGTGAACTCTTCAAGTGTACCTCACATTAGTGAAATAACAATTTCGGGCTGAGCAGGAGAGAGAACCACAGCGCGGTCGTCTATTTGCTGTTGGCTAGTGGTCACCTGCGAAGAAATTTTGATTTGTGTTGAGCTGTCTTTCCTCTGGGGGGTTTTGGGTTTTGTTTCCGAGCAGGGCTTGTTGGTCAAGACATCTGCAGCAGTGCAGTTCATTACAGTGTCTAAAGAAGCAAGAAGCCGGAAGCACTGATTATCAGGATGAATGTAGCTGTATATGCTCAAAGCAACGAAGAAACTTTCTGCAGATCATGATTTGAATCAGTTGAGCTGAATTGAGTGGGCGGGGAGGGGTGGAATAGACGACAGCCATGATTTTGAGAAGAAGGCTGGTTTCTCTATTGCACAAACAGCAGTTGTTATCGGAAGCATGGAAGCGACCAGAAGCGTTCGCAGCCACATCATATTTCGCCACCGATAGCAAAAAAGGTACTATCCGTTGCCCAACTCTAAGTTGCTTGTTGTATGGATCGAGATTCTTGTTCACACCGCAATTCCAGCTTGCAAATTGAAGTGCGTATGAGAGGACCGCTCTCCCACAGAAGTGTTATTTGATCTTGAGCTTCAATGATCTCTTGCTTAATTTGATTGTTTGAGGCAAAGTGAATGAGAAGTTTTCAATCATATCTTAGCTGGAAACTCGGAGCTCGTAAACCCTCAGTCGACATTGACTCCTCGTGAGTTTCTTTTCACTACATTTCTGCTTCTGGGCAGCTCGATGCTGGGAATTATGCTGATTTCACTCCACAAACTATCTTATGTGAAGCCGAAAAGAAGTATAATCGTAGATGTAAAATCGTAGATTCCCTCGAGGTTAAGGACGATCCTAGAGAATTTTAAGTTAAGACAGGTTCATATACCGGCTTCCTGTGCATTCCTGTTCGTTCTCATACAGTCACTTTATGTACACTCTATTTAGTGAGTTTGTGGTATCCAACTCGAATTTTGATGACATCCCTTCCGTAATTATCAGGCAAACGCCGGCCGACCAAGTCTGATGTTCCAGATGGATTATCTTCCAATCGCACAGTTGATGAGAAGGAGGTGGCACTCCAGGCAGCACTTGCCAATATTGCTGCCAAGTTTGGGAGGGAGACTATCATGAGGCTTGGAGATATGGCTGGTCCACGACAAGTTCCAGTCATCTCTACTGGATCAATTGCTCTTGACACCGCTCTTGGAGTCGGTGGTCTCCCCAAGGTTGTACATATTTCTCTACCCGAAGATGCTGCGATAGTGCAGATTGCTCTTTCTTGGACTCCAGTAGTTTTAATGTTAATCACCTTCTGTCACAGATTTCCATGAGAATGTTTTCTCTTTGCTAACATTTTAGGTGATTCCAGGGACGCGTTGTCGAAATTTATGGATCTGAAGCAACGGGGAAAACCACTCTCGCCCTGCATGTTATTGCAGAGGCACAGAAAGCTGGAGGTAGTTGTCCATCAGTATTACCTTCACGGAAAATGCTGTCAGTGAGCACTGTCTTTGTCTCATAGTAATCGAGTATTCTGCTTTGGCAGTGAGCGATGCACATAACCATTGGTTCTTACTTTGGTCATGTACAAACATGGTAGCTTGTTTCAGAGAGTTTTAGAGGATATGGGCTCATTGTTATAGACAAGTGATTGGTGTAGTGGATGAAAACTAGTGGGATGAACTTCGTTTCGTAACAAACAGTTCTGATCTTTTCGTTGTCCCTTCAATTTAATTCAGTTGGACCTTGAAGTTTTCATGTTTAGTTCAAAGTCTACAATTTCTTTTGATATAACGGAACGCCACATTTCTATACGTAGGTCATGATATGTTCTTCCACCTTAAGACCCTTCTTCTTCCTAAAATAGAGACATGTTTGAGCTTGCTTTACCTGTTATCGGTGGTGACAAATACAGGACGGTGCGTTTTCCTCGATGTGGAACATGCACTTGACATAACGTTTGCGGAGGCAATTGGTGTGCGGATTGCGGATCTGTATGTTTCACAACCCGACAATGCTGAGCAAGCACTTGACATTGCTGACGAGTTTATTCGGAGTTGTTCAGCCGCCGTTGTTGTCGTAGACAGCGTGTGTTTCTCTCCTAGCTGTCTCGTTTATGTCATTGTTGCGATTGCGATTATTGCTTCTCCTTCAATGTTGTAGAGATGACAGAGTCTACTTTCATCATGATATAAATTATATTGAATCATAGGCTTCGCAAGATGTGTAATGGTCACTTTGCAGAGACTTTTTTTCAGCTGTCCTGGAAGTTCTTTTGAAGCCTGCAAAGAAAGTTAACAGATTTCAAAACTCCGCAAGGACGGTTGTATGTACAGGTTGCCGCACTAGCTCCCAAAGCAGAGTTGGAAGGAGGCATGGGTGATGCACATATGGCCTTGCAGGCCAGACTCATGAGTCAGGCACTTCGCAAGCTAACTCATTCATTATCACGTTCTCAGACAATTCTCATATTCATCAACCAAGTAAGCAAACTCCTCCATTCTCCATTTGCCTGTTTCTATTCTGGCATTTCACCAGTATGGATCACGTCTACTCAGATGTAGAGCCTGCAAGCGAGGACCATGTTGGGAGTCAGCGCCGGTTCTCAGTGTAGGTTTGTCCTCTTTGGTCCCCTTGGGTGCCCAGGGCTAAACACGTGGTTGATCACGTATTAACTCAATTGTAAGTGCTCATTGCTTTTGTGGACATGATCGCCGTGTTCATCAAAAGAAACAGATAGATTTTACGTAAGTTGTACCCATTGGCGATATATTATGACTGATGGGCCTGAAACGTGGAGTCATTGTGCACCAAACACGATAAATAGATTGGCATTTGCTTTTGTTAATGTTTTACTCGCTCTGTTCATGATGCACTCGCGATTTGCTTTGTTTCAGGTCCGGCATAAGTTAGGAGGATTCGGCGGGTTTGGAGGTGCACCTATTGAAGTCACCGCTGGAGGAAATGCCTTGAAGTTTTATGCTTCAGTTCGGTTACATATCCGTAAGAGGGAGGTAATCAAACGAGGAGAGGAGGTATGTTGAAATTGTTACTTCTTCTCTGTTCGAGTACTTTTAGACACCAGATATAGAGCTGCGTAAGCCTAATCGACTTGTCCTGAACAAGGTTCAGGAACTGTTTTGTCTTTCTTTGTCTGCCACGGTTAATGTGCAGTTTTTCATTCATTTGTTTTTTTCTTCTGTCCCGCTGTGGCAGACCTTAGGATTCCATGTAATCGTCAAGGTTGCGAAAAATAAAGTGGCACCACCATTCAAGACAGCAGAGTTTGAAATAGAATTTGGTAAGGGAATATCCCAAGCAGGTGAAATTCTCGACTTCGGAGTGCAGCTAGGATTACTAAGTAAGTCAGGTGCTTGGTTCTCTTACCGTGGGGAGAACTTTGCAAACGGAAGAGATAGTGCGAAGAAGTTTTTGAAAGAACACGAGGATGTGGCTTTGGAGCTTGTGACAGCCATCAGACAGAAATTCCTTTTGGGCCCGCAACCTCCCAAAGAAGAAAACGCTGAAGACTTTGATGAGGATGATGGGGCTTTGGAGACTGACGCTGAAGAGGCAGCTAAGGGCTAACATGATGCAGTATCTCTTACACAAGATAACATGAGATTTCTGTGATCAAACTCTCGCATTCAGCATTATCGAAAGGAGAAGAGGCCAAGACACGGCTTGCATTACTCGGTCTAGCTAGACAGCTATGTCAGAAGCACATGTCATTTTCTTTGTACAGTGAATTCAAGCAGATGTAGGAAGTTTGGATAGAAACCATTGTTGCGGGAATATGTACGAAAGAACTCAGTTGGAGTTTTATTTCCACATCCTGTATTACTCGCCTCTTCGTGACGATCTGTTTTACACTCGAGGTAATAATGAAGATCTTCGCTATCTCTTCAACCTTCCATCAACTTCGCTTGCGTTGACAGGAAGATGGAGGATCAATTGATTGCGATGTGAACATCTCACAATGCTTAAGAAAGAGGTCTTTTGAGGATGTGACAAGTAGGGTCCCTACGTAGATGATTTCAGTAGCCACGAAAGTAAAACTTAGGACTTTTTTTTTAATGCTGCGTATCGTGGCCCCACCTGACGACGTCTCAAATATGCAATCTTGGTATCAATAGAAAGGTTTTTTGAAGCCTCATGTTGGAAGTCACCCACTTGGTACTTGTGTCAAAAAGGAAAGGCTTATACTAAGTTCAAGAGTGAAGGGTGAAGACCTCAAATGAGATGGTCTTCAACACAGGAATATCATACATCATGGCTTATCACCTTCTTCAGCTGTCCAGCTTTTCACCTGTCCACTCTACTCCTACAGTCTTCACGTGGTCGCAAGGCCGGGTCTTGGAAACGAGTATGTGGTTAGTTATGGCTTTACTGTATGCAACGACGAAGCGAAGTTGAAGTGCTCTATGACACAGCGGAAGCTAGTGCTCAATCTGCCTAACTATCACTACTGTCTGCTCCGATTGGCACAATCTTTGGTCTCAGAGCTAATATTTACCTGAATTTCCCTGTTTTGTGTTAGACCTGCCCTGTGCTGGCATACGGTAACTCCAATTTTCGAAGCAACTATCTCTGTGTATATGTAGAGTTGTTGTCAGCGGTGCATATCTCGTGTCTATGAACGTGCTGTACAATCCCACGAGGTTTAGCTTCAACAGCCCGTACCTATCTCAACCTTTTATGGCTTCTGAAACCTCGGATAGAAAAGTTTTACTCGTTTACGTACGCAATGTTATCTTCGTTCCATTTCCTTCTCTTCGTTGTATTACCTCTATACACTGCACAACCTCAGCCGAGGTTTTGAAATGTACAACAAGGTTGGATTTGGCAAATGGAGCTGGAAAAATAATTAAACTTCTACCAAAGCTGGTTGATTTCGTCATGTACCTATCTCTAAATCGCACCATCTTCGCCAAGAGAACGACCCGTGTGAGTAACGCAAATGAATGTCCTGTACAACTTTGCCACTACGATCTTGGATTACAAGATCGAAGCACAGGCCTAATCAACAGAAGGAGGACAGTCTCCTCATAAATCATGAACCCTAGATATCCGGCCACTGCTACTTTTGGACCAAATGGAGGATCGAAACAGGATTATATTGGTAAAGTTGGAACAGGTTTACACGGTTCACTCGAACAGCTAACCGGAATGATCGGAATGATGCACAATCGAAGTAATGAAGAAGTTGTCAGGGAATGAGGTCCAAAGGAAGTGGTCAGTCGTACATTGAAAACATCTTCTACCTTCTACTTTTACCTATTGTTCCCTCATTCTGGCCGGAAAACCGACGGTCCTCACGCTATTAATGGTGAGAGAATCACCCCACCCCAATCATATTTATTTTCCTACATTCAACTTAGCTTTGAGACCCCAGCGTTTGCAAGTGAACGAACATCACTCTACTTCACTTCTCAGCCATTCGATTCCCGAGAATAAGTCGTACGAAAAGTGAACAACAAGAGTTTGTGCCCTTGATGTTTCAAAGTATTTGGGTTTTTGCTCCTAAATCAAAGGATCTAAACAGCATAAAGATCTTGCAACAGGGCACTCATAGATGGCGGTTCAGACAATAAGTGGACCGAAACCATGAAGAAGAAGAAGTGGCCACTCCATATTGCAACATTATCGTAGAGAATAAGGTCTGTCGTTATTTTGCAGGAAGCAGTGAGGTCAGCAAAATCCTCAAAGAAAGACCAATCGAGCTTTCGGACCCTATGAATGACGATTCGGGCGGGGTACCATAGTCTTCCAGGTCCGTCCCATCCATCGCATAGAGCAATTATCGACCCGCGATCAGAAAAGGATGAGGGACAGATGAGAAAGTACATCGAATCGAAGTGCATCTTAATGATTTCTTAGGACAATAGCGGTGGGGCCGAGACAAAGAGCGAGGAGGGCAAATATTCAACAGACATTATTTAATTGAAAAGTACATCATGTGATAAATTAATAAATAAGAAATTAATAAATATGTAGTTAATCAAAGAAAGGCAAAAGTCGACCGAGGTGAGGGTAGACCTCGTGCTCGTTGGAGTCGGTTCGAGAGTGTCGACCGACGGACGACGACGACGACGACGAACGGAGAGCGAAAGATCGAACGATTCTCTTCTTGCTTCCCGATCTGCGAAGAAAAGAACAAACGAAGGAAAGGAAGAGGGAGGGAGGAGAAAGAAGGGACGAAGGAAGGAAGGAAGGAAGGAAGGAAGGAAGGGAGGGAAGGGAAGGGAAGGGAAGGAGGAGGGGAAGGGAAGGAACGGAAGAAAGAAAGCACGGCAAAGAAGGAAATCGGTCGATCGATCGAGCGAGCGGGCGAGCGAGAGTCTAGTCAGTCGGGCAGAGGCAGTCATATGAGCCTTCGTCGTCGCGGGCCTCCGTCCTTCCGTCGACGTCCGAGTGCAAGATCGGCACGGCCGCAGCACGCATTGCATCGCGTGCCGGGGGCGCGGACAGGCGATCTGCAATTCGCACCATAATTCCCGTGGTCCCGTCCCGTGCCTTCTCCACTTGTCTCGTCCCGTCCGGTCCTCTCCCCTGCCGCGGAAGAATTGGATATCGCGCATGTCCGAGCGAGGAGGAGCCCATGGAGCTGTCGATTGCGACGGAATGTCGGGCGATGGGCGCAAGACCTTGAGGCGATTGCGATTGCTACCATGAACTCGTGCAAAGATGAGATCGGGCCAGGTAAGGCAGCTTTTCTGAAGGGTTGACCCGCTCGCTTGCTCTCGAGGGGAGGGTAGCTCGTGCGAGTATTGTTGTGTTGAGCCGGGGGTAGATTGCGCAATGCGAGGTTTGCGCGAATGCGTTGTGCTCGATTGATTGTGGCGAGAGGAGTCGGGGGCAGGCGGGGGCCGCCGTTTGCTAGGCCTTGGCAAGAAGTGCGAGTAATGTAGGTTGCTTGATCCCGTCGTACAAGGTCTGGTAGTTTGATATGCGAGGACGTAGACGCGGAGCGGAAGGAGGAGGGGCGCGATTCCGTGCTGCTGGGAAGGTGTAGAAGGCGACGAAGACGAGGTGAGGCGGTTGATTTCTGTGTTCTGGAGGTATGAGGGGCGGCAGATTTCAGCAAAAGGCTATCGAAGATGCCAACACTCGCAATGCCGAGGCTCTGTTCGAGACCAGGACGGTGGTGGAGATCCGCGAAGTGGAAGCCCGGACTCGCAAGGAAATCGAAGAGAAAAAGGAAGAGTTGCGGCAGCTGGTCGGAGCCAGCTATCGCGATTTGATCGAGTCTGCAGATTCCATTCTTCTGATGAGAAAATCATGCGAGGCTGTGGCGGATAATATACAGAAAATGGAGGAGGGTTTTGACTCGCTGAAAAACTCCATCACTTTGAGCACAGTCTCATCGGAATCCGACCGCGAGAGGAAGAGGAGAGAGTCTCTGTTTGGAATTGGGAGCAGAGTGAAGTATCTGGTGGATACTCCCGAGAAAATTTGGGGTTGTCTGGACGAGCACATGTATCTGGAAGGGTCTGAGCGATACTTGAGAGCCAGGGAGGTGCATTCTTTGTTGATTGAAACTTCCGGAAAGGGAGAAAACGCCGAACTTCTTGCCACCTTTCCCCTTCTCAGACACCAATGGCCTCTTGTAGAAACCTTCAGGGGCCAGATCTCGCAGAGGAGCAGGGATAGATTGCAAGAAACAGGCTTGAAAGTTGGCGAGTACGCCATTGCTCTCGCTGCTGTGGCGACCATAGACGAGCTTCCGTCTTCCCAAATCTTCTCCTTGTTCCTGGAAATGAGAAGAACGTGGTTGAGAGTACACTTGCGCCATGCAATTGCAGGGAGAGACAGAGGAATCATCGATAAGACCGCGAGTGAGACTAAACGAGGTTATGCCGATGTGCTAAAGTCAACTCCACCCGAGGACAACGTATCCAAGGGAGTGTCTTCTTCCGACTTGGAAAGCACTGCTGCAATTTTGTGTCAGCTCGTGCATATGATCCAAGCATCTCTGTGTCACGTTGGAGAACTTTTTCTTGAAGTATCTGGGAAAATGCCTCTTCTCTTCAGCACAGTACTAACAGCACCCCCTGGTTCCCAGCTTTTCGGAGGCATTCCATATCCTGAAAGAGAGGTTAGATTGTGGAAGGCTCAAAAAGAGAAACTGGAGACACGCATGGGATCGTTGTCAGCCGAGTACATCACGGAGTCTTGCGTGTCCTGGCTTAGAAAGTGTGCAGGTGAGATTATGGTCGAAGGTAGATTGTTGCTCCAACGTATCAAAAGTGGTAAAGAATTGGCGGAAGTAGAGCGGATTGTTAGAGAAGATCTAGCCAAGCAGAGTGCTCTAAATGACAGCTTAGACTGGTTAAAAAGTGCTTTCGGGAGCTCTTTTGATTCTCCATGGGACTGTTTGTGCGAGCTTCTTCTGAAGGAGCCGACGAACCTGTGGGATGCAATATTTGAGGGCATGTTTGTCCGTAGGATGAAAGAGGTGATTGAAACAGGCTTCCACAGCATCAGTATAGATGAACTTCTGAAGGACTCACTATCTAGTGAAGCGAGTGCAAAGGGTCTCGGTAGGCAGATGCAGAGAGAACACTCCAGCGTTACAGCTAGCACTCCGTGGAAATATACAGAAAATGAGAATCTGCGGTCGTTTTCAGGGCTGGAAGGTGGAATGTCGGTGTGGAAGTCGCTCGGTGATGAGAAAGACAACTCCTCAAATTCGAACTCGTTCCTGAACCCGGAGGTCATTAAGGTTAAAGACAGGGTAGATGAGGGCATGAGAACTGTTTTGGAGGACTCTCTGAGCTTCTTGTACGGTCCACAAAGTACCGCGAGAACAGAAGAGCTAGCTTCTTATTTGCAGGAACAATGCCGATTGTGCATGATCTCTATAGTCAACGTGTTGACAGGCAAACTTAGCGAACTATCCGAAAGCATGAACAAGGCTACAGGAAGGAAATTTATGATTCCTTCAAATATTGCTTCCGAAAGAGTGGGCACCTTCTTAGGAAGTAACGGGAAGGCCCTGGATCCCAAATCTGATGAATCTCTTGAGACCCTGGTAATAATAGAAAGAGCTCTTTTCCTCGGAAGGCTGTCAGCAGCTCTGGCAAAGCACTCGTCTGTGCTTCCTGTTATTCTTGGATCACCCCTGAATTGGACTCTGCAGGATAAATCATCTGTGGGTAGCAGAGGATTGTCGCTGGAGAGGGAAAACTCATTTGCCGATAGCCCCGAGAGATGGTTCCCCAAACGGGGAAAGGCTGGTAATGCTGTCAGTAATGAGATTCCCGTGAAGCTGAAAGAGCTTCAGCGGATGCTCAGGCATCAAAGCATTTCCGCACATAAGATGTGGGTTCTTTGGAGTGCAGAAAAACTGATCGAAGCTTTCACTGGCGACCTGGAAAAGGATGACTGTCTTGGCACACTGATTCCTCTGAAAGTAAGTACCATGCCAGCCTTTGTCATCCTGCTCCGAGGAGTACTTCCGCTTACAGTCGCTTCTTAACTTCAGCATTGTCAATATCTGTCACTCTCTAAATGGTCCTATCAAGATTTTCTTAATAGGTAAAGTTCCATTCGGTGCAGGGTTGGGAAGAGACATGCTTGAAACAGGAAGAAGAAACAGGGGGTGAAGTTGAAATGAAGCTGGCACTACCGGCGATGCCATCGACATATGCTGTTTCGTTTCTGTTTGCCGGTTGTCAAGAAATTTACCGTGTGGGTGGTCACGCTCTTGATAGAGCAGTGCTCCAGTTTTTTGCTTGGAAGCTTTGTGAAAAGGTAGTCATCTACGCACCTCTGTTTGAATTGAAATCTCTTTCTTTAGACACTATAATATTGGGTAAGCGTTTGGGGAGTATTTGGGTGCTCAGATATTTTAGAATAGTAGTTGTTATTTCGACTTTCCATCGGTTTCAATATATGAAATGTCGAAATTCACTTTGAGTATGCAGTGTTGATCTAATGTGAAGGTTTTGCAAGCTGATGGTAAAAGATACTTATGTCGCAGGTGTTGAAGACCTATGAAGATTTTTTTGCAGATTCCTCTGTCATGAATAACAGGGTGTCAGAAAAAGGCCTTCTACAGCTACTATTCGATTTACGTTTCCTCGCTGATGTTCTGTCAGGAGGTCAAGATGTATCGATAGAAAATTTGGACAATGAAGACTTGGCTCATGAAGCTCTTGGTCTTGGTAGTCGCAGGAAGGCACCAACTGCACAGTCGGACAAGTCTTCACAAACTCGAAAAAAATGGGTTTCAAATCTTCTTTCAACGCTGCCAGCTAGATTGGATCCTATCGATTGGGCGACGTAAGTATCCCAATCTCCTTAATATGCTAATATTGAATGCGCGCCATCTGCACCATGAAATATTCAACTCTCGGGGTTTGAGCAACTCGGAGTCTCGGAACATTTCAATTTTCCTCATGCTGTAATCCTTGCAGCTGTACCATTTGTAAGATAGCCTCTTGTAAGTGGAAAGTTTTCCAAAGATTGGAGCCAGTCTTGAGAGAAAGTCGTAAGCGGTTTGCTTTTTGTGTGTCTAAGTAATCATCCGAGCTGAGTATTAGGAGTTATAGGGCCAAGTCAGTGTGTGAGCTTTGATTGTTGGTTTAAGGGTGATGAGTTTAGCAAATTTTACAGAGAAGGAGTCATAAGACTTAAATCACAGCAAACAAAAAGAATTCATAAACCTCTGTGTTTAATTTAAGTTTTGTCACCGCTCTCCATGATACGTTGCCTAACAAAATCATTGCTTCAAGCGCTTATCATACTCTTCACCGAATAGCTTCTAGAAAAATCAAATTCCTCCTGTCATATTATGGGCTTAGCAGTAACGTCTAATGCTTCAGATTATGAATCTGTGAGTACTCTTGGAAGGCTTTTGTTTCTTTCTTTGCTGATTCTTCTCTGTCCATGAATCATAATAGGAACATGTTACGTTTTTGTAAACAGGTATGAGCCACATCTGTGGGAAAACGAACGGCGTTACTACCAGCGATGTGCAGTCCTTTTTGGTTCACTCATTCAGCTGAACCGCCTCTACACGGATACTGTGTTGAAGCTACCTTCTCACGCGGACACGAACACTCTGAATATGACAGGGACTGTTCCGAGATTCACATATCTTCCAATTAGGTGAGCATGCTATGACAAAGTAGAGCTTACACGATGTGTTTATGTAGGCTCCTCTTGACCTCCTTCGATCTTTCTTGTCTTTACACTGTTGGTGCGCTTTGCGCATATCGTGCACTACGCTGTCTTTGAAGTATATTGTAACTCTGATAGAATCTGTCGATTTGGATACCGGGCCGGTATACTGTCAATACAGTCCGATTTTCATCACACGTGTCTAGTATAGTTCTCTTGTTCTGTGTAATCTACAACAGTGTGTGCTGATTTTCTTTGCAACCGTCGGGTTGTTCTTTTTTTTGTGTGTAGTTCTTCCTGCATATGTACATTGTATACGATACTTTGGCACCAGTATGTCATCCATCTGCAGTAGTGTAGCTGTAGCTGCTTCAGTGTCCTGAATAATAGCAGTTGGATGATCCCACTGGTGGTACAAACTCTCATAAGTGTTTGGTATTTTCCTGAGGTTTCAGTAGCTTATCATTATTACCCTTTCGTCTACCAAATGCAGTGCACCTATCTTCTCTGTCTCGGGAGGATCAGCATCAAGGATGCCGAGACAGTTGTCACAAGATGATTCTAGCTCAGGGCTTTGGTCGGGTTACAACAATTCGGACGATGGGTACAAGTATGGATCCTCAGATGTTCAAAGCCAGTCATCTGTTGCAAGTGCAAGACCGTTGATTAAGTCTCTTATGGGACAAGTGAGTATATCTTATGCACATACCACCTTTGAAGATTTTGCTTATCTTTGAAGTATTTATGTTGAAGTCAATATGGCTTTTGTTTTCCCATGTTCTACGATTGCATTATTACTTCCATATCCGAAGACTCACGTTGAATTCCTTCCCCGCGAGAGGTACGGAGTTACTATCTCCGAATTGGGTACTTATCAACCTGTAAGAAGATTCAGGAGTCATTGCAAAACTGTGCTACTTCCTTCTCTTTAGACATAGAACATGGTAGATGTTTCTATTTTGTCTCACTCTCGCTCTTCATGGACACCTATACATCTAAGAAAGGTAGTAATTTACTTGTCAACTACATCCTTTCCCAATTTGGTGCCTGCATTCTGTACCGTATGTTTGTAGGTATGCCATAACGAATAACCTCGTTCTTAGTCACCATCCATAACCTCCAACCAATCACTAGATTGGATGTTATGGATTGTGGGCGTACTCTTTGCAACCACAAACAATGCAAGAGTTTCTCAATGACTTCGCACCTTAGACTCCACCCTTAGTTGGAGGGGAGGAGGTATAAGTCACCGGGAGTCGCAGTGGTAGCTCTAGACTCATATAACGATACATGTGGAGAGGAATTCGTCTCTTCTACCTGTTAGAAGTATTACTACCCACTTCTTGGTCCTCCGTACACTCTGTTAAAGAACGTTTGTACTTTGTACTATAGTCAGTGGTCGTGAAACTTAGTCACGACCACTGTCACGACCAGCCGCTGTCCATTAGGGTTTAGGGTCCTGTATCTCTCGGATGACCACTGTCACGATTGGGTATATTACCCCCCATCCGGGTTCACTCCCCAATAACTAAGATCTTCTCTCCAGGACTCAGTACCTGTGTCTCGACCCTTTCATGCATTGCTTTACTTCCTGATATGGTATCAGAGCCTTCGAAGACTTTCGAAGGCCTACTTCGGCAGAAAGTGAAGCACAGAAGATAGTTCGAGTTCTGGAAGATGACTTCTCCAGGGGCTTCAACCCGAATCGCATGGAAAGATCTCCCCAAATTCAATGGGGAGCATTTCCATTTCCATTGAAACTCATCTTGCTCTTCCATGCCTGGAAGAGCAAGATGAGTTTGATCCTTCGACTGGAAGGATTGATGGGCATGATGGAAGGGAGTGAAGTTCAGCCAAGCACTCCACCCGGTTCTTGGCCGAACTCCACCGGCCAAGAACCCGGTGGAGTGCTTGGCCGAACTTCAGTCAGTACGAGCAGACAAACCAAGGGGAAATCAGAGAGAATATGGAGATAGACCCAGATATCGAAAGGGGAAAGTTCATAACGATTGTGGTCAATAAATGATAAATAGATTATTATTGTCAGATAGTCAGGCATAATTTGTTGCTCTTTGGAGACGAGTCCTTCCACGGTTTTGAAGAGAAAGTTGACGGCAGAAGGTTTCAACGGTTATGAGATACTAACTGGTATCTTTTTACGTTCGACACAGGTGGGAAGCAGGTTTGGAGAAGGTTTGAAGTTAGGTTTGCTGAGCGATGGCCAAGTTGAGCGTCTCAAAGACAAGTCTGCTGCAGCTATATCAACTTTTGGAGATATGTTACCTGTTCAAGCTGCAGGACTGTTCTCGTCTTTGACTGCTGGTGGAAACAAAGAGTAAATGGAATCAAAGGAAGTCTGTGATGCTGAGGAGCGGGTGCCATGCTTGCCATCAAAACCATGTGGCAGCTTCTGCATTCTCAGGCAAGAGGGTACCAGAATTGGAATCCGCGGAAATCTTCTTTGGTTTATGAGATCTTCTCTTGCTTCCATGAAAAGGGACATCCATTGACTGCATATGTTTGTTGCATATTTTACCTGTGAAGCACGTGAATCCTCTCTCCATCTAAAGTTTGCCAGTTTTCCACATTGACAGCAGCCAGAGAAATTATTGACGTCTACATGATTGAAGAGAATGGGATCTTGCTGATGTACAGTTTGAGGTTTTCCGTCTCCTTGTCCTTTTTAGTTGCAGCTGATGGGCTCACAAATCTTTGATGAAATCAGGATATAAATATCATCCACAACAGCCATGGGAAGCCACAGGAAGTATCTACAAGACAATCTCATTCAATGCCCAGGTGACAATTTTTTCGGCCCTTCAGCGTTCAAGTAAAAGCAGTAGTCCGCTGGGGGTTTACTGAGTTTTCTACGTGTAATTTGTTATATTCTTTTAGTTGTAGCCACTTGGTGAGCGGCTTACACAATTCATTTAATAGAGCAATTCTTAAGGAACCATGATTCCAGGATCTACCTCTCTTGTGGACAATCTGTCGGATGGGCTCAACTTGTACTTCGTTATTTCAGCATGAGCTGCCAATGTCGAGTGTTTCTCTACTGTGGTCAGATTTCCTTCGAAGAGAGCCAGTTAGATCAAGAAATGATATGCTAACGCTACATAACTAGCAATGTGGTCTTCCTATTGTCGCCTGCAAGTCCTTGGATACTAGTGGTTGGTCCTGAAAGACGAGTTCGGCTTGCAAGCCCTGATATATCAATAAAACGTCCAATGCAGACTATCAGTTAGAATGTTTGCACTCGAGACATGAAGCATCGCAGTGGATATATTGAGTTTGACATATAAGAGATATAAAGCTGCCGTTGAGCCGCTGTCCTGCATTTAAACGGTAGCAAGCGAACATATGCTGGCAGAGACGATGATCCCGTCGGATGTATTGAAGGCCGTGGGCACGGGTGTGATCATTCTGTTCTCAGATTGTTAAATGAAAGAGAAGACAAAGGGACGTTTTACGTCCTCAATCAAGATGCACGATGAGATTTTCCAGGAACTCTTGTCCATACTTAACGTTGCTAAAAAATGGGGCGAAACAATTCATAGCACAGATTAACTGTTCCAAAAGTCTGAGCTTAGCGGGCATTTCCAAAACGTGACTTATTCAACATTGACCTACATACGAAAATCGCAGTTATGTATTACGTAAAAACTTGCTCAAACTTACGATTTGTAATTTATATTGAGGTGTGATTGTCGTGGAAATGGATTGTGAGATGATAAGTGTACAGGGCTAGGGGCCTGTAATTGTGTACTTTGTTGTGCTTAGAAGGTCCCAACGGTGTTCATGAGGAAAATTTGGAAATTTTCTAAGCAGCACCCCTGGAAGAAATTCTACAGATCCTATGACGTAGACATGAGTGGAAATTTTGTTTGCACGGTGAGGTAGGAGGAACACTCTGAATCTGCGGCATCAATTCATGTGTTCGGTCCCTTCTACTGCATTGGAGCTCTCTCCACTGAAGAAAAGATTGACTGAGTAGTCGGACATGGACAGTGAGACTAATCGTCTCTCTTTCCTAAGGGAGTGCCGAAAAGTAGGAATCGACGAGAATTTTTCGGTGTTAAAAATCTACCGGAGGTGATGGGGATGTATGTACCCTAACTTACAAGAGGTGATGCATCTTGCGGCATTGTATCACATACCTCGTGAACGGCATGGTTACACCAAATATGAAACGAATTCGTAGGTTTATTTCGTTAATTAGTTGAACTCCTCGTAATCCTTTTTGCTTGTACGCTAGCATCAATAACTGCAAATACATGAGTTATCGATTGCAGCATGTTGTGCGTGAGGATTGCACACGATGCATAAGATGTTTTTGGTACGGCCAATTAGCCGCCTATTCTCCGAACTTTCTTCCTGCGGGATGATGTGAAACGACGAAACGCATTCATGCGAACACGCTCCATGGGCAGAGGATCTGAACCCACCCTCATTTCGAGTGGAAGTTCATGTTCAGGGCAACTCAGTTCTTATTCGGCCTTGGGGTTGAATTATTTACGCGCTAACTGAACCTCAAATGATTGTATATTGCTTGTTATATGTACAACGGAAGTAATGAAAGAGGTGCTCAAGCACGTGATCCGTCCTAATCTTCAACTTTTCTGACTTTTCACTGGACTCTTCTCATAATCCTGGGCTTGATCCAGAGGTTTTACAGAATTGTCCGGTTTGGGTCCCATTGGGAGACCCAGCATATTTCCAATAACCCTATATAAGGCGCGTCTAGCTTCGACTAGAGGCTGAATGGTGGCAACCAAAGTCGCAATGATTGTCCAGACTGCGGCCAAAACCACCCAAAAAGTGAAGTAACCCTGCGCACAGAGATGAAGACACAAGATGAGAATTGTCACCAACTGCATTTTCCTCGTGATAATCCAGATCCTGCGGAGATCGAGATAACTTGGGTAATGCTTGACCCTCGCTACTGCAGATTGAATGCCAGCAGCTGCTTGAGAGCTTTGTGGAAGGTCGATAAGTAGAGAGACATGCAGGAGGGGAAGGAGGGCTTGAAACCATACCTGGGAGAAAATGTCGGCTGGGAGCGTGAGAAGAGGCCAGGCGACGAGGAGGACGAAGGACAGAGGCATGGCAAAACATGTGTACTTGTTGAACCAGGGGTGCATTTCCGAACCTCCTTTGTCCGTGTTCTCGACGATAACTACTCCATCCATCAACTCGATCTGCTTAAACCTGCAGAAGAGAGACTCTCCCCCGTCAGCCACCACACCATGCCAGCAAAGACGAGAAAACAACATCTCAGGCATCCGATCATCGTCACCGATCTACTGCTATCCACAGACAGATAATTCAGGCAGGCAGACAATCAAGCAGGCAAGCAGCAGCTGGGTGCCCACTTTTCGATGTAGTCATCCTTCGTCGGCCTGATCCACGTCCACACGCACAGAATAAGTAACGAAGCCGCCACGGCAGCGCAGGTCGCAGACAGAGTCGGGCCCAGTCTCTGCAGCGTGTCCTTCACCGTGAACCTCTTGTACACAATCTGCGCATCCGTCACGCCACCTCAGCCTCAGACAACGACACGCGACAGCGCTGACCGACACGGGTCTATCTCTCTATCTCTCCTGCCTCGAGAAAAGCCGACGTGGACTCTCTTCTCGAGGGCCGACATTTGACTGCTCGAGGTTCCGACCGGAACCGGCTTTTGGCCGTTGACCATTGACCGGAGCCGGGGAGGGATGGGGAGGGAGAAGGGAGTGCAGTTTGTTTACCCAGACGTGAGACAGCCAGACGGTGAGGCCGACGGCTTGGCCTCCCAGAGCGCTGGCGACGGCGGCACCGGCCGGCACGTCTTTCCACATCACCATCATCATCAAGGGGATGTAGCTCGACGCCAGCAGGATGCCGTCCACGAAGAAGAGGAAGTTGACGTCGATTCCCACCTGCATCCGCCGCAACCACGGCACCCCACTCACCCATCAGTCGCCGTCACCACGCTAGCTCTACGACGTTCCGTCAAAATCACCAGAAAGCGAAAACGAAAGCTGAAGCTGAAGCTCGCACCTTGACGCAGAGGCATGACAGGGCTCCGATCACCAAGCCGAACGCGCAGACCGACGTTCGCGACACCATCAGCATCTCGTGGTCCGTCGCCTTGGGATTGAAGTACGTCTGCCATGCACGCCACAGTCCATCCAGGCAAACGGAGTCAGTGTCCGCGGCCCACCACCACGACGACAACGACTACGACGACCGCAGTCGAGCGGAGAGAGCGCGTTGTACCTTGTACACGTCGTAAGTGAAGAGCGAGCTCATGGCCATGAACTGCGCGGATCCGGCGGACGTGACGGACATGAACACAACCGTCAAGATGAGAACCACGCCCCCTGCATGCACGCACGCACGGGCTTCCACAGTCAGGCATGCGACGCCGTCCGTGAGCACGGAGCGAAGGACGGAGGGAGGGAAGGACGGACGGACCTGTTCCCATGAAGAACTGCGCGGCGGCCACGCAGATGAGGCCGGCGCCGTACTCGTCCTTGCTGATGGGCAGGTCGGCGGCGAGAGCGCCGAGGCCCAGCGCCGTGGAGAAGGCGAAGGGGATGGGGATCCAGAGCAAGCCGCCCAAAATGTAGCCCCGGAAGGCGGAGCGCGGGGTGGCCGCGATGGCGCCCTGCCAGTAGCCCTGGTCCGCGAAGATGGTCCCGAAGGCGCCCACCAGGTTCCAAATTCCGAACTGCAGTCCGCCGCTGCTGAACATCGTCAGATAGCTCCCTTCCTTGTTATCTGCCACACCCAGAGACCGGCTCTGCCCGTCAGCCTCCTCGTCCTATACAAATGGCTGGGTGCGTGGAGCCATCGCATCCGGTTGTCAGTACGCACCTTTGACCGGCACGGCTTCCGCCAGGACTCGCAGGTTGTTGTACACGTCGGCAATCGTCCCCACGGGATTGTTGTTGCTGCCGTAGATCTGGCACGGGGCATCCACGTCGCCTCCGTCAGTGCTCGGGAGTCTGAGCCGTGAAGGGAGAGCAACAGCGTCAGGGGGAGAGAGAGGCGTACCACGAAGAACATGACGTTCACGGTTATGAAGATGATGACAGTGTGAAGGTATGAAGAGGTGAAGGTCGCCTTCAGGCCCCCGCCGAATGTGTATATTATCACTCCGAGGGGCAGCAGGACCAGCGTCGCGTACAAATTCATCCCTGCACTCACTCAGTCCATCGAGTCTGACGGACCTCAGTAAATTGTATTGCAGTTGCCCAACGTCGGACTTGGATCTGGGAAGAAATTCTGATCACATTCGACATGAGAAAGTGGGGGACATTGAGCCAAGCGTGGGGTTGGTGCACCGCACCTGTCACTGCAGTCAAAATCGCTCCAGCTCCTATGAATAGTAGTATGGCGATGCAGAAATTGTTGAGGTAGCATAGATACATGAATACCTGCGTTCATAGTTATCAGGAACCCAGTCAGGTGATTCCATCCTCGTATTCATGGAGCCCAAATCGACCGTTGGCATTGCAGCAGCAGCAGCTGGCGCATTTCAGATCCGGCGATGGCGCCGGACTGGTAATTGGACCGACCGACACTAGCAGATGATGAATGACAGAACGAGGTTCGAGCTTACAAAGGCGGTGGGATGTCCCCATCGCAGGCGGATGAGTTCAATGACAGTATGCGCCTTGGGGGCCTTGCGCTTCACCTCCAGAGCAACGATTGCGAACACGATGAGTTGAATGGCTGCTGCTGCAGAGAACCTGAAACGCACAGCTTTCGATCGGAGTCAGCATATACCTATGCAAGCGAGAAATGAATTACGTCCATTATCTCAACGAGCCAGCTGAGAATCCTGACGATGATGCACCAAGCGAGTCGGAATGAGAATATACAGCAGCACAATACACAAAGTACATTTTGAGCAGTCAGAAGAATGATACAAGGTTTTCCAGTACCCACCAGAATGGTCCACTAACTCCGTACGTGTAAGCTTCGTTCACAGACACTGTCAATGTTGCCACCCTGCACGAGCATAACATGCCCCATGACCAGAGACATTGTGGATCCTTGTAAGTACAGTATGAATGGCGCGTACAGCAAATGTCCTCTTAGCTTTTACGAGGTCAGATCTGAGAATGTAAAGCAACGAAAAGCTACGTTGTCAAGTAGTAAGCTACTGGACTCTACAGTCTATCTGGCATGTAGTGGGGGAGGATTGTATGTATAAATTGAAGTGCAGTGAAGATGGCCTTCGCATCCAGCGTGACGGATGTATTCCAAATCTTCGAGTGAGTACGAGTGTGGCCTACCATGTCCAGCGGCTCACGACATCCACGGCTATGAGGCCGGTTTTGATCGACCGACCAGCTGTGTTGAATTCCTCAGAGTTGTCCTTCGTGCCTCCGTAGCGTTGGTCCAGGAACGACAAAAGGCCTGTCAGAAGGACGAAGAAAGCTCCATATCCTACAACAACGGCATAGCCGATACCCTGGAATCATGTCCATGGCAGCAGCAGGCACACATTTAGCGCATTCGTATCCTCGAAGCTCCGGGCCAGTACTCTCAGCTGCAGCATAAGAACGGCTAAAGATTCGGCAGGATTGTAAAATCTCGGAGCGACCATCTCTACACTTTAAGATGCTGCAAAATTCCTCCGGGGCTTGCGTTCTCTCGACGGGTCAAGCTAAGACAGGCAGGACAAACTGCTGCATGTGCACAAACAGAAACCGCAGGCCTGAGCCCATTAACAGTTGAGAGATCTACAGCTCATCGAAGAGTTCCTGCCTGCTTTCACGTGTCGCACGTGCAACGCACCGCCGTCGTACCACGGGCCTCTCAAGGACCTCCTACTGGTGCTTGAACGATCGAATCGAAGGTTTCGTATGTGTGAATGTGTATCGTGAGGATTTTCTGACCTAGAGTTTCCTTAACGAATCGTTTCGTTAAGTGGCTCGTTTGTCATCTGGTTCAGCAAGATTTTTCTCCGTTCTCAATTTCTGAGAACCGTGACATCCATACCCACCTACTTACAGATGCCACGAAACTTACAGAACGCATGTGCTGCTCCTCCAAGAAATGAAGAATTCGTACTGCAGATCAGGAAGTCGAGAATGCTGCCTCCATGCAATCTCGACCTGAGCTTGGCCTTAGGCAAGCTTATACTAGCAGACGGGGTCAAGCAAAGTAATCGAAGAGATGATTCTTCCCGGCTTACATGAGAGTGCAGACTCCCAAATATGAAGGCCTTACCTGAGACAATATTGGTTTTCCTGAGAAAAAGCTCTCCTTATTGTCGAACTGAGTGAGCCCGAACAGATTTGCCTCTCCAAGCGGCATTTTGGACCTTCAGCTTGTTTCCAGGAGTCTGTTACATCACATTTCAACAACATGCACCATCTCAGCTTGCATCCGCGTCTAATGCAAGAGTCCATACGAGTAAGAGCAAATCAAATCATGTGTGAGTGTGTACCCGGAGGAATCTTCAAAAATTCGGAATGTCAATCGACCGTCCTCCGAACCCTGGAATGGATTGACAGACCATCGGGGCACATCGGTTTCTAGTAAAGCCCCGTCAGACGTCACGTCTGGGGTGTGATGACGTTCGCCCATGGCAGAAAATTCAAGAGAAATTCAACGAGGATTCATACATTCCCTTGCAAAGAGCATCCAAAGGTCTCACTTTGGCGACTCGTCCCTGTACGAGCAGTACAGGGAAACTCTATAATAGAGCGACACCGTAATGGTCTAGCGGTCGCTTGAATTCATCAGCATCTTGCGGACACATTTATGCAGGAAGCTAAGAAGATTCACACTAAGCCTCATCTTCACTCCTATCCTCGGGTCGGAGAATTGAGAATCTCCCGATTGAACAGTTAAAGATAATATCCTTCCTTTTCGACATTTTCCTCCAGCAGTAAAACTCTGCACCACATTAGGACATCATGCGCAAGTGCTGCATGGGGCAAGCGGAATGAAAGCTTCTATTTTCATGAGAATGTGCTGTTCTGCTTCTGTTGTGTTCGGGATGAGGCCAAGCTGCGAAGTACCAGTGGGCAAGTACTCCCAATGGATACTCGGCGAAATTCCGGACAGCATGTTCTATCCGCCTGTGTCCAACAGTAAGAGACTCACACCGACATTCTCATCCAACTTGCTGTACAATCGGATTCCACAGATCATAACTGCATTATGATAAGCCTTACCCGGGCCAACGAAGGTGATGCAATCGGGCGGCCAAAGATCCGGATCACAGTCACTCACTCCTCATCAATCCGTCTCCCCATCGAGCTCCAATGAGGAAAAGTGCCGTCCCAGCTGATCTCTCCAAATGCTCCTGTTTTTCCTAAGTGAGAATCTCCTTGAATGACAGGCTGCAGGCCTGGGCACTTTATATCCTGCTGCAGCTCCCCAATAATGCACTGCATCCGTTGCTGGCACTGTCACTCGAATTTGAATCAAACTTTCAACGGGGCCTTGGTGTCCCCAAAGTCACGTTCCATTCTCGATCGACTTAGACCTGACACGAGCAGAAGGAGCCCCTGGCGTGCGGGATAATAGGTGAGTGGGGTATGGGAGAAGTGGTTGATTTATACGACACTCGCTGGTCAAAGTGGGGTCTCCTTTTGGAGATGCCAATTCCCTCAGGCAAGCTATGCCGAATGCCGATGGATCATGCTCGTTGACCTGGTTGTGATGCTCTGATCAGGGACTTCTCATGGCCATGCCATGCTCCTGAATCCTCCTGAGCTATAGCCCCTGGACATCGACCTGTCTCAGGCAGTCAACGCGCCAGGAGACTCAGGGCTGACCACCCTGACCTCGATCAGTTCATGTCGAAATTGTATCACTGTCTTTTGACTATGGAGAGTGAAGGTGGGATCCGGCAAGGGCAAAGCAAAGGTGTGTCCTCTCGGCTCGAGAAAATCTGTTCGCCCCACGCTCTACTCCCCTCCACCCCTTTAGCCTTTGTGATTGACCGACCTCATGCGCATCGAACTGCTGTCACCTGCACCGTACAGCAAGGAGCTTTTAAATAATGTGCTGCTCGGGCTCTAGCTGGTCTTGTTCTTTTGCTGATGGCCCTTTTGCCCCTCTTTGATTACAGACATTGGCTCCATGTGGAGGAGCTTCTGGAGAAGATGTGAGTCGAGCCCCATCTCCGAGATGTTGTCGCTAGAGATTTTATGATGCTTCCACTCTTGTCGAGCTAGATCCAGTGTCAACCGCTGCTATTCTGCGGCCCGTCTCCGACCAATGTCAGAGGAGTTGGCGTGACTGACTGATTGACTAACCGACTGACTGCCTGACTGTCTGACTGAATCCATGGGCCAGAAGGGTAGGATCATGAATCAGTTCTGGAGTCTGGACTCATCGGACGCCATGCCACTCTCTTCTGAGCTCGGCTTGCATTACGCAGAGAAGGTTGATGTGCTCGGCCGGTGGCGAGACCAGCTTGGTTCAGTTTGGGCTTGTCTTTTTGTAGCTGGCTGGCCGATCACGGCGACCTCGCTGTGAAGCGGTTACTTACTGCGGGATCTCGTACAGATTTGCGCCGGATCAGAATCGGAATCAGTTGGTGCAGCCAGCGGCCGGTTTTCAGCAGAGGAAAATTATAATGATTGATGGTCACCGTATTTTCAACTCTCGCTCCGTGCTGCCGTCCATGGTCGTGTCCCCAGATACAGCCCATTAAGTGATCGCAGGATGTGAAACTTCTCGCTGGCAGCTGTACAGCAGCTCGCCATCGCCCTTGACCAGAGTCGCCAAGCACCCGTGATGATGGAGGGTCACGTCAGATCCGTGGCAGGCCTACCGCATAGTTTGACCAGCTCTGCAAGAGCTCGAATGACATGGCGCAATCGGTTGATTCTGTGCTAATCTCAGTAATAACCTCTGAGAGTCGGTTAGATTGATTGATTCAAAACGGGATCTCCATCACCTTCACCATCCCTGCCTTCGTCCCTTCCTCTTGCGTGTCCGGCCTTTCTGATTCCTCTCCGGGAACCACAACGCTGCCCAGCAGATGTATAAAGCATCGGCTGCCTCCGCTTTCACTGTCAGTGCGTACATTGTTGACTTTGCGACGCGAAAGTCGCTTTGCCATCGTCAAAAGCGCCACCTTCCGCCCTCCTCTCTCTGCAGCTCGACAGGCCCTTTCTCTTTCACCTCATCTGCTGTTCATTGAAGCGTGCCATTGCGCGCACCATTCAACTTATACATTTGTTTAAGCAGTTTGTGAGTCGTACACATACTCTTCATACGGCCTCGCCTCTACATCTGCAGGCTTCTCCTCTTTTCCCATTTTCTCCTGTCTGATTAATCAGTCGGCCAGATATTGCGCTCTGCATACATTCTGCTAGAGCTCGGTCTGTAATGCATCTAAGACGGCCTTCTCTCCGTCTGCTGCAGATGCTAAGCGGTTGGCTCGATTGTTAGCTGCAACTCTATGACGGTTCCTTTGACTACAATTCACTGATCTCGGTGGGCTCTGCTGAGCTTCTCATCAATTTAGAGCGGACGAGATCGGTAGAAATAGCTCGATGCTAAACTTATTGGAGGTGAGTAGGGCATCATTTGACATTTAGAGAGCCAACGACGTGGGGTTTGGAACGACAACCCAAAGAAGTAGGAGGCCAATTTGGACTGTCACTAAAGTCGGTAGGATTCATTTGACTTTTGACCTGGGGTCAAAGATTCCTTTGTCGGCATAGATGTTTCAGGTGTCAATTGACAGCGGAAGTAGATCCTTGAACTTCATTATGATGTTCTCTAGTCGAGAGAGACCGGTTCGGACTGGATCGTCCAGGGTCGAGTGCAGTACCAGGGTCGTTTCTATACCTGTTGTTTCTAGCGGTGCAGACTGTACAGTTTGTAACCAAGTCGACAGTAATGTGTGTGTGAGTGTGTGTGTGCTTGCTTGCTTTCTTTCTGGAAGCGTGCATGTAAGACCAGGTCGAAGCATTTATTCAGCATGACCCAGAATTCGTGCAGATTTCACGTCCTCACCTGAACCGTGACTCGCCAAGAATACATGGAGGCTTGATCTTCCTTCACCGTACAACATTGTGAAATACAAGAAAAGGAAATCATCCAGTTTTTCACAACGCGGGTCAATCATGGCCATGCAGCAAATCGCTCGGGATCAGTTACGCTTCTAACGATCGATATTCTTGACACGAGGTCCATGATTATCAAGGGTTTCTTTTCAGTTGATGTACTTGCGCCATCACGAAGTACAAGGCAGGAGTAGTAAATAAAATGAGTTAAAAAGGAAAGATTTCGTCCGGTCGATCGCTGAGCCCCAGTAATTGGGCATCCCGAGTAGATCAAACATCTGTGACTACATGAGCAGCTTCTTCAACCCGCGGAAGAGAAAACCATAAAATATATCGTGTCTCTGAATTTGCGTGCAAGTTTACAAATTGATTTTGATTTCTGAGTGATTTTTGACTCGAGTCCTTACATCGGGAGTCGGAATTCGTCGATTTAATTCTCAAGAATTGATTGACCTTATAGTGTCATTCTTCGGACTTTCGTCGCATACTCATGACTTGTGCACTCAATTGCATATTTCCCTTTGGCAACCAAAAATGCGGTTGATCTGTTTCATTGTGGATCAATTTTGAACTTTAAATGATCAAAGTCTGAGGTGGCTAAGTAGCAACCTGTCTTTAAAGGAAGGATGATACAGTAATTCCTGAAGTCGTGGAATATTCTCGAGTGGCACGCTTGCATGAGGTCGATCAGGCCGTTGAGTACTCTGAGGTGTGAAGCTCATCGCATGCATTCAGCAGAGATAGAGATATCGCAGCGCTCGAGTTTCTCGATCTAGATCTGCACAACTTCATGCCAACTGCATCGTATAATATAAACATCTAATTAGGAGATGTTTAGACAATACCACTGTGTCAGGCTTGTGCACAATTTAAACCTTTGCTGACAACTGAATTAGTCTAATTAGTCAAGGAAATCGGAACAAATCCCACTGAATAGATGCAAGGCTCTAGAGTATTTTGGCTGTGCCAATGTTCTTTCGGGCTGGTCAAAGTCTCTGTAACGAACATCTTTGATGTTCGTTACAGAGATGCTCCGGAGGGCCCGTGTCCTGGTGAGCTCATAGTTGTAAATGTTCGTTACAGAATTGCTCCGGAGGACCAGTGTCCCGTTTAGGTCTCTGATCGCTCGTACAATGAATGAGTGACACTCACTCATTCATTGTACGGGAATGTCAGATACACTACGGTGAATGTCAGAGTGAGTGTCAGATACAGTGAATGTCAGAGTGAGTGTCAGATACACTACGGTGGTCAACACATGATTGACCACCGTAGCTTCGGACTTCTTTCATGGTGATGATTGAAGATTTACTGCGATGTTCAGCTAGTTAGATTTTGGAGAAGTCTCCCGTCTCTCTTACGATCCAAGAAAAGTGCGCGGCAGCTGCAATGGTCCACGATTGAGATACGCAACATGCCATCCTAAAGCAACAAAAGCAAGAATTCAATCTTGGACGGCAAATTAATACGCACATTCGAGTATGAACCGTTCAGTGGAAAGTGAAGGAATAATATTTCTGTAGACGCTGTACTGCGTCTAAAATGTGGGATACAAGTGGTGACACTTCATTGCGGTTTGCATATCGCATGAAATCTGGCCATATATTTCATTCGAATTGCAAATTAGTGACATATTATACAACTAGAACAATCTGCAAACTATGTACAAGAGCAAAGGATTGGGCTTCGGAAGTCAGTGGAGAACTCCACTGACCCACGGACCTGGTTGATCTTGCAATCAAAGCAGACCCCGATCTGCTTTAGTGGGAATACCAGATTTGGATTTCCGTGAGGCTCAAGCTCTTACGACCTTACGTGAATCCAAGTTTTCTGCTGTCATTCTGAATCCTTCGTCTCTGTACATATAAATATATATATAAGCAGTTAAGTTTTATAGTGTTTGGTCTCATATCTGTACAGACGAGGTCAAAGACTTCTTCAGGGGACTCTAAAGTTGTACATCAGAGAACAGCTCAGAGAAAGTAGGCAAGGAAGACTTCACATCTCTCGATAAAGGACAGTTGGCCTGTAACTCTATAACTCTATCCTACACTATGCAACCAATGCTCCCACTACTTTTGAACACTTTCGCAGTGTGGCACATATTACAACTGCAATGCTTTTTCTCTTGTTCCTGTGCTTCCTAGGTCTGTCTAGTTTTCTGAATTTATTTGTTACAGATGAACCGCCTCGCGTGTTCCATTCCACTCGAATCAATAGCTTTCCAGTCTAGCAGATAAAGTTGGCCATTTTCGTCGACTTGTCATATTATAAAGGACCAAAATGAGCACAGTTGTTAATACACTATTGAGTGAAAGAGTGACCAAAATACACTTTTTTTTAATATTTAAATGTTTAATATTTACTGAATAATTTAAAACTCAACAAGCAGTGACATTTCTTAGTAGAATAAAACACATTACAGGTAAGTATTTTTTTTCACCAATAAATCAAAGATCATCAAACTACTAGTTTTCACTATCTTGCTCTGCCATTCCACATCAGTTTAATAAGTTTCATCAAACTCATAGGCACACTAATATCATAGATTGAAAGACACTCTCTTTCACTCTAATCTCACATCTTACACAATCAAACTTGTTTTTTCTTTAAGTACATGATACATTCTTACACTTGAAAGGTAAGGATTCTTTCATATACACGATTGATACATTATGCATGTGAAATGTATTTGTTATTTGAGTAGATACAGTAGTTCTTGAAACGAATTTCTCGCAGTAGATCTAACCTTTGCCATGACCACCATCGGTTATATCTTCTTGTCATTACAAGCCACTTGTTTCAATCTACTAGAAGCAAGCACTTTCCACTTTTCAAGCACCAATGATCATCGAACCCCAAAAATCTTAGCAACATATTGTTGAACTCCATTCTGATTTTTAATGAAGTGAAGTTAAAGTCTCTACACAAAGTTGTACTCAATGACAACGTGAATCTTTGAAAATAAAACAGATCGGAAATTAGGATGCAAGTACATCGAGAGAATCAAATATTGACCTAGACATCACGACCTTTCTTTAAGAGAAACGCAGCCCATGCTCAAGGATGTACTTAATTACTCACATTGTCACCAGAAAGCTTCTGTCCAACGCAATGTCCCACATCAGGGTCTTCTTCACTGACTTTTGGCTACATTACTTGGAGGATCCCAACGCAATTAGACACGAAGGTTTGTTACAGCAGAGAATATGAGTGTGTCGTGGGCAAGGAACGCGTGTGCCTCGGCGAGAAGCGCAAGAACGCGCGCG